GGTGTACCGGGTGTCAGGGTGTACCGGGAGTGGGGGTGTACCGGGAGTGGGGGTGTACCGGGAGTGGGGGTGTACCGGGAGTGCGGGGTGTACCGGGTGTCGGGGTGTACCGGGTGTCGGGGTGTACCGGGAGTGGGGGTGTACCGGGAGTGGGGGTGTACCGGGTGTCGGGGTGTACCGGGAGTGCGGGTGTACCGGGTGTCGGGGTGTACCGGGAGTGGGGGTGTACCGGGAGTGCGGGTGTACCGGGAGTGCGGGTGTACCGGGTGTCGGGGTGCACCGGGGGTGCGGGTGTACCGGGAGTCGGGGTGTACCGGGCGTGCGGGTGTACCGGGAGTGCGGGTGTACCGGGAGTGCGGGTGTACCGGGTGTCGGGGTGTACCGGGAGTGCGGGTGTACCGGGAGTGCGGGTGTACCGGGTGTCGGGGTGTACCGGGCGTGGGGGCTTCCAGTACCGGCGGTGCCCCGGTGCGGCGCCTGAGGCCGTGCTGTCTTTCCCTTGCAGACACGCTGTTCCAGCTGAAGGTGAGGCCGGCGGCGGGTTCTGTTTGCCCCCCGTCACGTACCGCTGCTCCCGGAGGGCCCAGTCGCCGTCCGCCTCCCCGCCATGGCCCCGGGCTCCGCTCCTCGTCGGGGCTTCCGCTGCGGTGCCGGTGCAGAGGGAGGCTCTGTGCTGCGGAGATCCGCCCTCGGGAGGCGCGGGGGTGCCGGGGCCGCCCCGCCGATGCCGGCGGCCGCGGGAAGAGGGAGCCCTTTAGCCGGGTTTTTCCTCTGGGACCAGCCGTGCCTTCCCGGAAGAGGGGAGTCGGCTTTCCCGGTTTACCGGGTGCCCTGGGCGGCTCCTGTCCCCGGGGAGGGGGGTGGTGTGCTCGGCTCCGTGCCCTCACCCCGCGGCCCCGGCTCTGTGCGGGTCTCCCGGCCCTAAAGAAGTGCTTTCTCCGCAGTTCACAGCGAAACAGCTAGAGAAACTTGCTAAAAAAGCCGAGAAGGACTCCAAGGCCGAGCAAGCCAAAGTCAAAAAGGTGGGTTGGAGCTGCGGGCTGGTGCTGGCGTCCCGGCATATTCCACCAAGGGGCATGTCCCCCGGAGGCCTCACTGTGTGTCCCATCCCAGCATCCGAGTGTTCCGAGTCCCCCCCCTCAGCTTTCAAATGTGCTGGGTGGACACTGTGTGTCCCAGTGACACCAAGAGGGATTTCATTCCCATTCCAGGGCGTGCTCACTGTTTGAGGCCACGGTAGAGCTGCTTCCTGCTGGGAAGCTGTCAGGAACAAACAGGGTGTGCTTGTTTGTAAACCTGTGGTGCATTCTCTGCGTAAGTGGTTGCCCTTTTGCCCTCCCAGGCCCTTCAGCAGAAGAATGTGGAGTGTGCTCGTGTCTATGCAGAGAATGCCATCCGCAAGAAGAATGAGGGGCTTAACTGGCTCCGCATGTCCTCCCGGGTGGATGCGGTGGCCTCCAAGGTCCAGACAGCAGTGACCATGAAGGGGGTAAGAGCCTCTGGGTGTGCGTGGGGCTTGAGACATGACCATGTATTGTCTCTTTTCCTCTCGCTGCCTCAAACCACTTCAGAACTCTCTGTCCCAACCACACCAGGCTTTGTACTTGGCTCAGACCCTCTCTAGTCAAGTTTGGCCTCTGAAGAGTCCATTTGAGGTGGCCTCACAGCAGTGCTGCTTTGGATTAAATCCCTAACCCATGGCTGACCAGAGGGAGAGACTCATTCTGGGGGTCTCTTGCCTCATTGTGCGTACAGGGGTGGTGGGCTGGGACTCATCCTGCCAGGAGCACTGGGGTCCTCAGTGATGGTGCATGGCTAGAGAAACCCGCAGCCAGGCTGTTTGGTGAGCCCACAAAGCCTGTCCTGCCTTGCAGAGCTGCTGTGAGCATCCCAATGCTGTCTTCTCATTCACTGATGTGGGTTTCGCTCTCAGCAGAAACATACCTTGCTTTTGGGGAGCACACATGAAGCAATCTCCTTTTGCAGGTGACAAAAAATATGGCCCAGGTGACCAAGGCCTTGGACAAGGCTCTGAGTTCCATGGACCTGCAGAAGGTGTCTGCAGTGATGGATAAATTCGAGCAGCAGGTTCAGAATCTGGATGTTCACACATCAGTAAGTGCTGGTGGCCTCTGGAGGGGCTGGGAGGGCTGGGGGCTGCAGGGTTTGGGAGAGTGGGCTCATGTCTGAACTGTAGGTCCCAGTTATAACTGGGGCTTCCACAGCAGCTCCCTGTTTCCCCTTGGGGACTCCAGCCTCTGGTGTGGGAACCCCCCTGAGCTGAGAGACATGGGGAAAGACCCATCTCTGCTGCTTGACAGGGAAGGAGTTGCTGTGCAGAGAGGCAAACGTGGCACGACAAGGGATGTGGCTGTCCCGGTGTCAATTGCTTGGAGGGGATCTGTGGTAGAACCAGACTGTGAGAAATGGTCTCTAGATAAAAACTGGAGCCCAGGGTAGACACAGCAGTGAAGCAGCTATTTATTAACGTCTGTGCAGAAATGGGTGTCCTGGCAAGTAGACACACACAGCAAAATCAGAACTATGATTTATGTTTCCTATCCCGTCTTCAAGTTCCTTCCCTTGTTTCCCCACTGGCTGGGTACTCCAAGGTTTACAGCCTCTCTGACAAGTATAATCTACATGCCAAGTGTCCTGCCTCTGGTTACACCTCCCCTTACTCGATTTCATACTCCCCTTCCTCTTATTTATTTATCTCCTTTTATGGTTCGATTTCGTAACTCTCTGGCAGACATGCAGCACGCCAGCTTACTGTTTAACTACAGAACCAGCCTGCACCAGCTTAGTTTCATAGGTTGTACAAAGACAGTATTCTTTTTAACCACAGAGTGTATCTTTTGTCCAGAGATGATATTGTCTTTAACCACAGAGTGTGTCTTTTTAACTTGTGATATCTCAAACCCTTTGTTTTGTTCCCTTAGTAGCTTAGCCCCAGTATTGAAAAGTCTTAATATTGCAAAGTTTTAATATTGATTTTAAAGCTTTAATATTGTAAAGCCTTAATATTGCAAAGCCTCATCCCCAATTATGCGAAAACAACACTGATTCTCTCACGCAGACTTTGGACCCCTCTGTCATGCTGTCAGCATGAGGCCGTTCTGGCTGAGGGGACTGGTTGCAATAGAGGATCTGCAGCAGGATCTTTGGCAGAAGCAGCTAGGTTGGGCCAGGCAGCTCTTGCTTTGAGTCAGGGTGACAAGCTGTGTCTGTCACAGGTCATGGAGGACTCCATGAGCTCAGCCACCACGCTGACCACGCCACAGGAGCAGGTAGACAGCCTCATTGTCCAGATTGCGGAGGAGAACGGGCTGGAGATCATGGACCAGCTCAACCAGCTCCCCGAGGGTGCTTCTGCGGTGGGGGAGAGCTCAGTGCGCTCCCAGGAAGACCAACTGTCACGGAGGTTTGTGCTTCCCAGGTCTCTGTCTTGTTTGAGGCAGTCTGAGTTCTCCCAGGGACCACTCAGCAGTGGGAAGGGGATGAGTTAGCCCACTGTGGCATGCTGGAGGGACGCTGAGCCCCCTGCTCTGGTGCTTGGGCAGTCCCCATGATACCCTATGCAGGGAGGCGAGGTGGGTATTTGGGTCCGTGGGACCACTTTGTGTGCCTGGACATGGTGTCTTTTGGCACTCAGCAGCAAGCCCTCCTCATGGGGTGCAGAACAGTCTCCCCCTGCTCTGTGCTCACCCTCGCACAGCTGCCGCTGCTCTGAAACGCTTGGCTCTGACCTTCAAACAGCTCCAGGAACAAGCTGTCTCCCTGGAACTGCCCCAGGAGATGCTGATGAGCTTCCTCTCCCCACGCAGCCCCCACTGGGTCCATCTGGGGACAGCCCAGAGGCTGTGCTCCCCTGGGAGCCGAGAACAGCTCTGGGAGAGGCACTGGGCCAGCAGCGAGGTGCTCAACAGAAAGCAGGAGCCCCTTCTCCTCAGGGCCTTGCCTGCGTTGGTGACACACTCCAGGTTAACCCCAGGCAGCCGTGGCTGTGTGATCCAAACACTCCAAGTTGATCCAGGGCAGAATTTCTCACACCTCTGCCACAGAGCAGGAGGTTTCTGGGCAGAGATGTCCCCTGCAGTCACGGGTGGAGGGTTTTCCTGAGTCACAGCTGCTCTCACGTTCCTTCCCTCTCATGCTCTCCTTCCAGGTTGGCTGCCTTGCGGAATTAAGGTCTCCTATCGCCCCTCTAGACTGCTGCCCCTGCTGGGATGGTGTGGGGCCGATGGGCCCGGGACTCCTTCCCCACAGCCGCTGCCATCCCCTGCTCCAGCAGCACATCCCCAGCCCTGCCTGCGCTTGGACACTGCTTTGGGGCTGTGGTGGTGATGGCTTTTCCCAGAACCAGCAGCGATCTTGGCAGGGGTTCTTGAGCAGAGGTGGCCTCTCCGGGCTGAAGGAATGCTTCCCTGGGTCTGATTTCAGCGTGTTTTCCATTGGAGGGCTGCTGCTGGTTTCTGGCAGTGTCTCATGGTGCAGTGTCACGCTCCTGATTTAACACTAAAGAGTCCTTCTGGAGGCGGGTCACAGTGTGTTTTGGGGTGCTGCTTGCCTAACTCGCCTCTGTGTGTGTGCAGCACACTTGTGTTGTTCTCCTTGGGGCCCGCAGCAAGGAGCTGTTTACAAGGAGTAGGGGGATCCCACTGCACCGCAGTGGTTTGGGAAGGGTGTTTCTCCCAGCTGTGGGGTTTCTGGGAAGGTCAGTGCCTTGCGGGAAAGGGAGGTTTCGCTGTGGCATCTCTTCCCTTACAGTAACCTTCCCGAGCCATAGCTGCGTGCCCTGTGTTGCAGGCTTCACCTTGCCAATCACTAGCTGCTTGTCCTCCCAGGCCAATCCTCCCTGCAGCTCCTTACCACAAAGTGACCTTTGAAATGCTTGTCCTGCCCTGCACAAGTATGCGTGTGTGTGCATCCGCAGCTCCCCCATCTCCACCCGCTCTGGTCTGGAAATGGTTATCCAGGCCCTTGCCTCCCATGTGGAGCAATCCCTGCTCCATGCTCAGCAGTCGGGAGTGGATTGCAGCAGCTCCCAGCCCCATGCTCACAGCGCTGGTGGCCTCAGCCCTGTCCCCACATGTCCATCAGCCAGATGGGTGTGACGATAAACGCTAAACCATCCCCAGAGCGTGTCTGCCTGCGCTGGCTGCAGCTCGGCCCCTGAGTGTCTGCTGCCATTCCTCCTCTGCTGTCCCCTCCTTGCTGCTGCTGCTGCTGCCTGTAGAACAGCACTGAGCTGGGGGAGAGGGGGCTGCCTCCCCTGGCCCCTCTCCTCCATCTCATGGCAAACGTGGCTGCTCATCCCTCAGAGCCTTCTTCCTACACTGAACTGTTCTGTGCTCCTTCTCTGCGACTCCCAGGCACCATGAGGTGCTGGGTTGATGCCGGGAAGGAAATGCAGTTTCCTTTGGCTCTTGGGAGGAGGAACTTTAACTTGCTGCAGGCTGTAAATGGAGGCTGTGCAGTGGCTGGGTCCTGTGTGGTGTGGGGCAGGCAGCTGGTCCCACTGCAGTGGGGTGGCTCCAATGCATCACTTCCAAAGGGAATTTTAAGGTGTGCTGTGAGGGGAGCAGCTCCCAGTGCCGCTGACGTTCCCAGGCACCTGTGCTGTGTGTGCAAGCGTGGTGCAGGACTGGCTGCGGGTGGGCTGTGTCCCAGCCCTTCAACACAAACACTTCTCACCGTTTTGCTTATTTCCTCTGAATTCAATGGCCTTAGCAGCGTGGGTCTGGTTACCGACAGAGCCTTCCTCCCCACCCCGTGCTGTGGTGGGGCGAGGGGAGGTAACCCTGGAGGTGGCTTTGGACTCCCAAGTCACTTGTGCATGGTGAAGTGTTGGCTCTTGTGTCACCTCCCAGTGAGCTGGGCAGCAGGCAGAGTTGTCCCCCTGCACAGGGGACACCCGTGGGCCCAGGGAGCCACTGCCCTGAGGAGCTCCCTCTGTCAGGGTGATGTTTGTTTGTGCTTTCCTTTGCGTGTTTTGTTCGTTTTGGTTTTTTAAGCTTGTCTCATTTGTTGCCTTCTTCTCCAAACCCCCGTTGATTCCCTTCTGCTATCTCAAATAAACAACCCCTGACCATCCGTCGTGCTGTGTCTGGGTGTTCAGATGTGAACAGTGTGTCCGTGGTCCCCTCTGTGGCACAGGGTGACGGCTGTGACCTGTCCCCTGCCTGGGATAGAGGCCAAGGGGCTGCTGTGGAGCTGGGGTGAGACTGAGGGATCCAGTCCTGCTCTTGCAGCTTCCTGCCTCCTCTTCCCCAGGGAAAGGGCATCAGTCACCACAGAGCCGTGGGTCCCTTGCTGACCAAGACCAGTTCCCTGAACTGGGGGGGGAATCAGGGTGAGCAGGAGTTACTGCAGCCCCAGTGCCACCATCACCACCTTGGGAGGCCAGGGCAGCTGCTGTGATGCCCTGTGCCTTTCTCCTCACCTTTCCCAGTCCTTGGTTGAAGGCCGGGCTCCATGAGGGGCAGATCCTCATCTCGTATCCCCACTGTGGGAGCCCAGTGCCTTACACCCTGGTGCTGCCTCCAGCACCCACCGACAGCAGCTTCACCCCCGTGCTGGTGGCCGTGTCCCACTGCCGTGGCTGCCCTGGGCACATCCCATCCCGGTGCCGGGCTGGCAGACGGGGCTCTGTGCCGCAGCCAATCTGCGAATGGCACAGGAAGATGGCTCTCCTTCCCCTGCCTGTTTTCCCGGTGCCCAAAGCCGCCTCCGCACCACAGACAGGCTGTTCCCAAATGTGACAGGAAATTGCTAAGAAGATAATTGAGTAGCCAATTAATTAGCTAATGATGAATGTAAGCGTCCTGACCGTGTGTTGCAGCGATGTGTCACTCCCGGTGTGGTTACAGCTTCTCGGCGTGTGCCCATGGGGCCAGGCCATGCAGCCAGGGTGGCTGGTGACATCCTAGGGTGGTCAGCGATGTGCTGGCTGGCTCATCACCTCCAGCCTGGAGCCAGCACTGCAGGGCTACGGGGCTGGTGGCTCCTGGCACAGGCACACGCTGCCAGCGGTGCTTGAAACACGTCTTTATTTCACTTGTGGTGCTGGCACAGGAGGGAAGGGGCACAGGAATGGACCCAGGCCAGCAGCCACTGGGCAGGTACCGGCATCCTGCTGGGCAGGGTGCTGGAGCTGCGGTGGGAGCCAGTGCTAGGAGAGCATGGAGTGCAGCAGCGCCAGCACCAGCACCAGGGCTGCCAGCGGGAGCAGGGCTGTGCCTGCGCTGTTGGCGTAGCCATAGCGGGTCCTGCACGTCCCCTCCAGCTCCTCGAAGGCGATGGGTGTCTCGTGGGCAGCCATGCTCTGCAGGTTTGTCTTCACCTGCAATGGGGACAGGGTGGGCTCCCGCAGCGAGGGGCAGTCCCTGTGCCCCACACAGTCCCTGTCACCTTGCACATCCTAAGCCATGAGTGTCCCCAGGCTCCTATTCATCCACTGCCCTGTGTCCCCGTGCCACCCTGTGTCACCATACAGCCCATGGTGCTGTACATCCTCGTGTCCCACTTGTCTCTGCTGCCCCATGTGCCCCCATGTCCTGTACATCCCCGTGCCCTGCTCACCTCCTCCACCTTCTTGAACACACGGAGCAGGTTCTCGGCCAGGGCTGCCTTCAGCTCCTCCTCCGTCCAGTTCCTCGCCAGCAGCTCGGCCACCAGTGCAGGGTACGTGGACACGTCCTCCAAGCCGGTGGGGAGCCTGCGCCACCCGCAGCTGTGCCGGGGCAGCTGCCTCCCGCACCCCAAAGCAGGGCACGGGGAGACCCCCCCCATGCCACGTCCCCGCGCTGGGGATGCGCTGCCCCATCCCACTGGCACAGCCCATCCTGCATCCATCACCCGCCTTACCCCGAGACCCCATCGTAGTCACCACCGAAGCCGACGGACTGGGCACCGGCCACCTTCTTCACGTGGTCCATGTGGTCTGCGGGTGCCGAGGGGACAGGGTGAGCAGGGAGAGGGGGGACACCGACACCCCCAACCAGGGCACCCTCCTCACCTGCCACATCTTCCAGCGTGGCCGTGTCCGCGCATGTCACGTACGCGCTGTAGAAGTTGACCATCACCAGGCTGCCTGTGGAGGCCTGGGGGAGAGGTGGCCCTGAGCCTGGCTTCCCCCATGCTGTCCCCATCCCTGCCCATGGCCGTGGCCCAGCGCTCACCACCATCCTCAGCACCTCGTCGGGCACGTTGCGGCGGTGCTGGCAAAGGCTGTACGCGGATGAGTGGCTGAAGATGACGGGGGCTTTGGAGAGGTTCAGCACAACCTTCATCGTCTCCACTGAGACGTGGGCCAGGTCCACGATCATGCCCAGGCGGTTCATCTCCTCCAGCACCGTCTGCGGGGATGGGGTGGGCGAGGGATGCGTGAGGGTCACTGTGCACCCGGGGCACTGCTGCTTGGCTTAACGCTGCAGCATCGGGCTGGTGGGTACCACTGCCGTGGCACCGTGCCCCGGCTCACAGGTACCGCTGCCGATGCTGCCTCCACTCACCTTCCCGAAGGACGACAGGCCGTGGTGCAGGGCTGGATCATCCCCAGTGTCCACCAGCCAGTTATCAGCCCTGCGGAGCGGGGACAGCATCAGGGCAGACCCCGGGGCATGTGCCCCTGCTCGGCCACACGCTGTACCCCCGCATTGGCTCTGTCCCCCCAATCCCTGCCCCCCTGGGGCTGCTACCAGGGGGTGTTGCAGCTGTGGGTGAGTGTCATGTAGCGGACACCGAGGCGGTAGAAGGTGCGCAGGACACCCAGGCTGCTGTCGATGGAGTGGCCGCCCTCCACCCCGATGAGGCTGGCCACCTTGTTGCTCTGGAAGGCCTGGCGGATGCCTGCGGGATGGAGGGGGGAGACATCAGCCTGGGGTCCCTCGGGGTACCCCCATTCCAGCCCCGTGCCCGCTCACCGTCGCTGTCGGTGACACAGGTGAAGGTGTCGGGGTAGCGCTCGCACATGCGGTGCACCACGTCGATCTGCTCCAGCGTGCGCTTCACCGCGTCCTTGTTCTGCGTGTCGCAGGGCACGTACGCAGACCAGAACTGCCCCCAGGAGCACGCGGTGAGCACCAGGACCCCAGACTCAGGACCCTGCCACCCCATGGTGTCCCCAGTCCCACCCCGGTGTCCCCGGTCCCCTCGCCATCCCACCTGCCCCCCGACGTGCCCTCTGCGCAGCTTGGGGATGTTGGTGTGGGTGCCGTTCAGCAGCCGCAGGTTGGCCTCTGGCAGCCCAAGCTGGTTGTTGAACCTCTTGAGGAGCTGCCAGGGCAGATCGTTGTGCCTGGGAAGGGGGCAGAGGAGTGAGGGGCTGCCTGGCTGCCTGTCCATCCATGTATCCATCCATCCATTCCTTATTCACCATTCCATCATTCCTTCATCATTCCATCATTCCATCATTCCATCCATCCCTCCATCATTGACCTCCCCACCCATCTGTGCCCCCTACCAAAACCAGAGCCAGGTGTCCCCCCCCCTTTGGCCAGCAGGGAGCCAGAGGGAGGCCAGGGACCCTTCACGCATCCCTCCGACCCCACTCGTGCCCGGAGAGCCAGCCGGGATCCTGCCGGCAGGAAATCACTGTCACCACCGTGGGAATGTCACCACCACAGGACGTCACCGCCGCGCGGTGTCCCGCTCCCAGCAGTGTCTCTGGGGAAGTGCTGGGGACGCAGCCTCCCACTTCTGCCCTCACTGTCCCCACATCCTCTGGCTCCTCCTCTCCTGCACCCTATACCCGGGGCTGGTGCCACGGGGGAACCCTATGGAGGATGGGAGCCTCTGATGGTCCTGTTGCCAGCGACATCCCCGAGGACACAGCCCTGTGGGATCTGAGCAGGGACTCCCCTGGGACAGCCCCTGGCTTCCCGACTCTCTGCCTGCTCCTGCTGGGCTGCACCTCCTGGGGATCCCCTCAGCATCACGGTCCCGGGGTGCCCGGCACGGGGATCCCCCCAGGGCCATCCCCGGTGGGTTTTCTGGCTGGGGTTTTCTCATGGGGCAGACACACCGTGGGGCCGGGCAACCTTTGCTCACCCGTCGATGACCGGCGTGGTCGTCATGATGCGCTCGGCCTCCTCCCGGTGCTGCTGCCCGGCGATGGGCAGGATCAGGGGCAGTGCCAGCACCAGCACCAGCCCCACCGTGCTCCTGCCCGGCATCCTCGCCTGCTCGGTGCAGCTGGGGACGAGCCGTGGTGACCTGCCACCGCTGCTGCATGCACCGGCCGTCCCCTCCCGCCGTCAATGAGTAACCAGGAGCCGCAGCCATACGCTGCTCCCAGCCCTGCCAGTGGGCACCGGGGAGCTGTGGCGGTGGCTGCCGCAGCCCTCCTGGGTGGCAGGGCCTCTCGCATAGCTCTGGGAATGCTCCCGACCCCTCTAATGCAGCCCAGATTCTTCTTGCTGGGGAAGTGCCGCTCTCATCCCCGCCTTGGCCTCCCCAGTGCTGGTACCCGGCAGCATCCCAGCTGAGTGCAGGCATCACCAGCACCCCGACTACTGACGGGCAAGCCCCAGCACCCCTGTCCCCCACTCACCCTGTCCCCGGGACGCTCGTGCGGATGCTGCTTGTTACGGCTATGAAATATGTTTTCCGCTTGCGTGCTGGCGGCGAGGCTGGGATGGGCTCCGGCCACCCCAGAGCCACCCCCCGACGTGGTGCCGGGGAGCGGCCAAGTGTCTGGTGCACCCCGTGGCAATGTGCTGAGACCTCCCCTCCATGGAGGGGCTGGGGAGCAGCAGCACGGCCCTGCCCTGGGGGTGCCAATGGTGCCGGATGTGCGCCAGGCTCCCCCCGCCCCATGGGCCTGCTGCAGCATCGTGGGGAGAATACGGAGGCATCCCTGGGACCCACAGCACAGCGCCCATGGTGGGGGCTCCATTGTGGGGACACTGATGCTGCTGTGGCAAGAGGCACTGCGGAGCTGCTGGGAATGGCGTGGAGCCACATGGAAACAGCCCCGCTCCTTGTCCCACAGTGTGCTGGGATGGGAATCCCTTCCTCCAGCACAGTGACAGCCATAGGGAGCTCAATGTGTGGGGCACAGTGTGGGGCTGGCACCGTGGGATGCTCTGACCAGGGAGGCTCCCATCACTCTTCCCACCTCCAGGTGAGTGCGGTACCCGGTCCCCCCGGCCCTTCTGCCTGCAGTGCTGGGTCTGCCCATGTGGGACCCCATCCCATCCCGGGGGTAAACCGGTCCCGGGGCCACCCGGCCGGCAGCGCTCTCCCGGCGATGGCCCCAACGTGGCCGGATCCGCGGCCCCCCGGCAGGAATGCGCCTCCCGCCCGCCGGGACAGCTTCCTCTTTTGCAACTATTTAAGGCTGGTTCCTGCCGCGAACCTGGCAGCAGCCGGGACATGGAGCGCATGGATGTGACCGAGACCTTCTCCGGCATCTCCCTGCCGGGGCACCTCCACACGCAGGAGTCTCTCAGCTTCGCCGTCACCTTCCCATTCCGCCCCACCGACGTGGTCATCGCCACCTACCCCAAATCAGGTGAGGCTCGGAGGGGTGGGGGGGCTCGGAGGGGGCCGGTAGCGGTGGGGCACAGGGAGGGGACCCTGCTGGGTGTGCGGGGCAGTGGGGCAGGGCTGGGACCCCCAGGCTGCGCTGGGGACCAGGGGCAGGCTCTGCTGCACAGCCTCGGCTCCCCGCAGCACCGGGAGTCGCTTGTGGGGAGGGGAAGGGGCCGGGCCCGGGGCCAGCCCCTGGCCAGGCAGGACCCTGCGGCTCCCTGGTGCCTCTGGGCACAGCGCAGGGACCCCCGGCCCCAGCCATGAGCTCCGTTACCCCAAAACACTGCTCTGCGGGGGGAGGCAGCCACTCCCTGCCCTGCCCCAGCCCCGTCCCGTCCCCACTGCTTGCTTGGCAGAGGGTCCCATAGAGAACTTCTCTGTGCCACGCTGTGCTGAGCAGCTGAGCTGGGCCCTGTGCCGTGCCAGGCTGTGCCATGCGATGCTGTGCCATGCTGCGCTGTGCCACGCTGCGCTGTGCCGCATGGTGCCCCTCACAGGGCTCTGACTCCCGTGTCTGCAGGCACCACCTGGATGCAGGAGATCCTGACGCTGCTGTTCAGCCACGGGGACGTCCTCCCGGCCAAGACCATCCCCAACTGGGAGCGGGCGCCGTGGCTGGAGCAGGTCTACTTCAAGGAGGCCCTGCAGGACGTGCAGGACACGGCCGCCTGCCGGCTCATCACCACCCATCTGCCCGCCCGCATCCTGGCCCCTGCCCTGCAGCAGAGCAAGGCCAAGGTGAGGGGCTGCAACGGGCTGTGGAGTCCCCACCGGGGCATGCCGTGCCCATGGGGCTTCCCACAGCTGGGTGATTGCCAGGGGTTGCCTGAGTGGAATCCCCCCACCATGGGGCTGACACCGTGTGTGTGTGTGTGTGTGTCCCCATAGGTGATCTACGTGGCCAGGAACCCCAAGGACGTCGCTGTCTCCTTCTACCACTTCCATCGCCTGGCCAAGTTCCTGCCTGATCCTGGATCCTTCGACAGCTTCCTCACGCAGTTCCTCGAGGGCACAGGTAAGGGCTGGGGAGCCCCTGGGGTGCTGGGGCTCAGCCACGAGGGCTCCCCATCACCTCCTGCCTCCCCCAGTGCACTACGGCTCCTGGTTCGACCACGTCAAGGGCTGGCTGGGTCAGCGGCAGCTCCTGGACATCTTCTACGTCACCTACGAGGAGCTGCACCAGGTGAGCCCCTGCTCATCCCTGTCCCCATCCCTGTCCCCATGGCTGCCATGGTCTGACTGTCCCCCTCGCTGCAGGACCTGCGTGGCACCGCACAGCGGCTCAGCACCTTCCTGGGCTGCCCACTGGAACCGGAGACACTGGCAGCCCTGGAGCAGCACTGCAGCTTCGCCACCATGCGTGACAACGCCATGGCCAACTACTCCCTCATCCCCATCGAGATCATGGACCACAGCCAGGGATGCTTCATGAGGAAAGGTGAGGGGGACGGGGTGCAGGGGGCATGGTGGGGACACGGCTGATCGTGGCTGCAGCACCTCTGCCACCACATCCCCTCCATCCCGCAGGCGTTGTGGGGGACTGGCGGGACCACTTCTCCCCGTGGCAAAACGCGCTCTTCAACCGCCTCTACCAGGAGGAGATGGGTGACCTGGAGCTGCCCGTGCACTGGCCCATGGCCTGACGGGCTTTGGGGACCCGGGGGGGGGGCACTGCACAATGAGACTGGCTCCCTGAGCCCTGCTGAAGGGGATGCAGCCTGCATGGGGACCACCAAGCCCCATGCACCGCCCCAGGGACTGGAGCTGGGGGTCTGGTGTTGGGGGGGGCTGTCTGCATGGCACCTCCTTGGGGATGGGGGCACTGCTGGCTACCCCCTGGGCTCCTGCCCTGGGGGGCGATGGGGCTGGGGATGACTATGACCTGCTTCCACCCCATGGAAATAAATATTTATTGCTGTTCCCAGCCCGGCGTTCCCGGGGTGTGGGGCGGGCAGCGGAGAGGGGCAGGAGCCACCGGCGCCACCAGGGTGGGGGACCCATCCCGAGGGATCTGCTTGGTGCAGGGGGCAGTGGCAGGGTGGGCAGTGCAGGGGCAGCACAGCATGGATCTATAGCGCTGGTGGAGCCCATGGTATGGGGCTGGCTTCTTCAGCAGCACCCAGGGCTGCCAGGGTGCACCCTCTGCCCCCCATCCCTGCCCTGGTGCGCCCTGCCTTTGGGCCCTCCTCTCCCTCCTGGTGTGTTTGCACCCAGAGATTGTGACCACACCACCCCAGCACCCTGAGCACCCCCAGCCCATGTCCTGCCGTGCTCCAAGGAGCTGCCGTTAACAGAGCACTTGGGAAGCGCTGGCACTGTCAATAATTAACCCCTGGCTTAATTGACCATCATCCACTGGGTCCATGTGGCACTGTGTCAGGGAGGGGGGCTGAGGGCTTGGCCCCAGCATGAGCAGACCCCCCAACAGGGCTACACCGGGCTGCGTGCAGGCAATGAGACCCTCAGTGGGGCTCTGTCACTGCAGCCTGGTGGCACCATCTTCCCCGCTAACCCGGCCACTGCTCCCCACGCTGGTGGGTGCAGCTGCGGCGACATTGGGCACCCCCATCCCCATGGGGTCCTACTGCACCCACCGGTGGGGCACCCATGGATTGAGGTACCAGGTCATCCCCCTGCCCACACTGAGCCGCAGGCAGCGCAGCTCATCAGGCGCTGGGTTTCTATGGCGACGTGTATTATCCTGCTTTATAGGAGATGAATCAGGATCTATAAATACACGGGTGGACGGGGAGGTGCGGGCAGCGTGCTCTGTGCCAGGGAGCCAGTGGCCGGCATGGTGGGTCAGCGTGGCTGCGCGGGTGGATGGGTGAGTGGCTGCCTGGATAGGGGCAGGCTGGTACCTCTGGTGGCAGCAGCATCCCCAGTGACAGCAGCATCCCGAGCCCAGCTCAGTGACACTCGTGTGGCTCTTGGGTGGCCACTGCCCCAGGCCCCAGTTTCAGTTGCTGTGGTGGCCATGGGTCACACCCCACCCCAGACGATGTCACCTGCCCAGGAGCATCTGCTGGCACCGGGACAGCGACACGCAGCGTGTGGCACGGGGTGAAGGGCACACGGCACGCGGCACGGCGCACACAACACGTGCCAGGAGGTGAATGGCACACAGTGAATGCACCCGGCTTTTGGTGCAGCTGACGGGGCACAGCGCGTGGTGCGCTGCACGTGGCACAGTGTGGCACACGGCATGCAGCACATGCAACGCAGCACATGACACACGGCACAGGGCACATGGTACGTGGGGTGGCACATAGTGTAACATGAAGCACGTACGATGAATCATGCAGCAGGTGACACATGGCATGCGGTACATGGCACATGGAAGAGGGCATGTGGCACATGGAGCATGACACATGGCGCACAGCACACGGTACACCACACTGGCACAGGGCATGCAGCGCAGTGCATGGCATGCAGCATGCAGCACATGGTGTGTGGCTTGTGGCATGTGGTATGCAGCACATAGTAGAGCATGTAGCACATGACATGCAGCACAGGGCACGTGGCACATGGTGCAGCATGGAGCACATCGCATGAAGTGCACAGCAGGCGGCACAAGGCGTGAGGTACGTGGCACACGGCACACAGCACATGGCATGTGGCTCACAGCACACGGGTCGTGGTACAGCACACTGGCACACGGCATGCAGCATGCAGCACATGGCAGAGCACATAGCACATGGCACAGAGCACAAGGCATGCATGTACGACAGGGAGCACGCAGCACACGACATAACACGTGGCATGGGACATGGCACACAGCACAGCGCATGGGCACATAGCCCCTGGCATGTGGCACATGGCGCGTGGCACACAGCACGCGGCACGGGGTGCGCGTCACACGGCACGCGGCACGCGGCTCTCGGCAGAGGCAATGTGCAGGGCAGGGGCAGGAGCAAAGCGCCAGCGCTGCCTCCGCTGCCGTGGCCTGGATTTCGGGGCCGCGGCACAGCGGGATGGACGGTGGATCCACACAACTTGAAAGCGGCGGCTGCTCAAAGGCGCCTCGGCTCGAAAGCGCCGGCGCTGCCCTGCGAGCTGTCAGTCACGAATCCCCCTAAATATAGGTGCAGGCGGGGACGGGGCCACGTTCAGCTCTCGCCTGACGCTGGGCAGCACAGTGAGGGGCACAAGAGGACACGGACAGCACCACAACTGCTGCCTGTCCCTTTGCTCGAACCACACAGATCGCCCGGAGAGAGGTTTGGTGTCAGCACCCAGAGAGCACATAGCACGAACACAAGGCTGGTCGCTTTATTGGGGGGGCCCCACACACCGGGGGGGGGGTGTCATGCAGCCTCCAAATAATGTCACAGCAACAGACAAGCAGGGACTGAGAGGACCACAGGGACAACAGGGACCAAGCGGAAACAGGCAGGGTGGTGCTGAGCACCGGGAGTGGGCAATGCCGGCCAGGGAGTCCTGCACCAGGGCACCGGGGCTGTCCCCATATCCCCATAGCCAGCGGGGACACGCTGCTGGCCCCCAGTGTGCCCCCTGGCCCGGCGAGGAGGGGGCTAAAGCAGGTCTGGGGCATGGTGGGGACCCTGTCAGACCCCACACCACGCTGGGGGGGGCTCACTGAGGTGAGCTGAGGTTGGAGTCAGGGGTCTCTGAGCGGGGGCAACGGGGGGGGAAGGCCTTGTAGCTGTAGTATTCCACAACCTGCTTGGGCACCTCCGCCAGCACGCACTTGGCCAAGGCTGTTGGAGATGCCTGTGAGATAGGGGATACCAGGGACATGGGTGAGCCAGGGGCACCACAGCTCCCACTCGCCCCGGTGTGCAGAGCAGCATCCACGGCTCGCTGTGCCGTGATGCTTGGTGCTGCCATGGGGATGGGTGGGGATGGGAGGGGATGGAAGAGGCAGGAGGAACCCCAGCGCCCCACTCACGTTCTTGAACTCCCGGAAAGGGACGAACTGGACGATGTCCCGCAGGACGGGCTCTCCCTTTGGGGAGCGCAGGATGCCGTCATCCCCATCCAGGATCTGCATGTCAGTGAAGTCGGCGTTGCCCACCCCAACGATGATGATGGACATGGGCAGGTAGGAGGCGCGGACGATGGCCTCCCGCGTGTCCGCCATGTCCGTCACCACTCCGTCCGTCAGGATCAGCAGGATGAAGTATTGCTGTGGGGAAAGGGAAGCTCTGGAGGGGGGTGCTCAGCCCCACTGCCAGCCCCATGCAGGGGAGCAGGACAAGGGCTTGGCTCTGACGTTGGAGCAGCCACAAGCACAGAGCCAGCGGCTGGGGACACTGGGTACGTACTGAAGCCTCCTTGGTCCTCTCCTCGTTGGCCGCCACACGAGCCACCTTGGAGATAATGGGGGCCACGTTGGTGGGGCCGTAGAGCTGGATTTTGGGCAGGCAGCTCTGATAGGACTCCACAACGCCCTGGATGCCTGCGGGGGAAGCGAGGGATGAGAGGGGATGTGCTCCAGCACAGCAGGGCCATGGGACCGGCCTGTCCAGAGCTGGACTCACCCTCACACTCATCGTTATCGGGGTTGAAGTTGATGGCAAAATCATGGGAGACCTGGAGGGGGAGAGGGAAAGGGGCAGCCAGTGCCCACCCTGGCTCCTGCATGGCCCCACGGGAGCCACAGCCAAGGGTGCAAGGAGGGATAAGCACATCCCTGGGGTCCCACCACACAACCACCCCCTTACCTCGTACTTGGGGGGGATTCTTGCACCAAAGCCCAGAGCTGAGAATTTCTTATCACTGCAAGGGAAGGGGTGTAAGGAGCCCCGGCAATGTCAGCACCGGGGTCACCAGCACCAGGGACCTGCTGGAGCAACCGACCTGTCATAGTCCTGGCAGATCTCTCCCACCGCGACCAGCGCCTTGAGGTACTCGTTGGGCTGGTAGGGGTTGATGTAGTGCAGGGAGCAGCTGTTGCGGGGATCCCCGTTGGAGGCGGTGAAGTCGATGGCCACCTGCAGAGCGGATGGAGGAGAGGGTCCCCGCAAGCTCGGGTGGCTCTGCCAGCCCGGCCCTCCGGCACCGCAGCCCAGCCGGAGCCTGCCCCCTGGTGCTGCAGGACGAGGGATGCTGCTCACCGTGAAGTGGATCTGGCAGCCGCCCATGATGTAGTCCAGGAAGGAGTAGACCCTGTGGATCTTCCATAGGGACCAGCGTCAGCCGGGGCTGCCCCACGGCAGCTGGGTATGGCACAACTCGGCACGGCACAGCCTGCACGCCGGCACTCACCTTCAGGTCCAGCAGCACCACGACTCCCGAGTTCTTGTAGTTGCGCTTCTTGATCTTGTACTTGGGGTTCATGCAGTCCCACTGCACCTGCAGCGCATTGCACCCGTGCTGCCTGTGGCCCCGCAGACCCACGAACATGCACCCACAGCCCCATAACCCCGCAGCCCCAGGGCGCAGCTGCCTTCCTTCACTCTCAGCCAGCTCTGGGGGGGATCCAGTTTTCCCGGAGGAGAACAAGCCCACCATCCATTCCTCAAAAAGAGGGCCAGCAAGAGAACAATCCCAAACCAGGGCAGGTGCCTCCTGGAATGGGATCGGCTGCTCGCACAGAGGGAAGACCCCACAAGCTGTCCCCTCATCTCTGTGCCTACCTTGTTCTCCCCCATCGCCTTCTGCATCTCCTCAAAGGTGGTGAAGAACTCGCCAATGAAGTCGTGTTTGCCGCGTGAGTCGTAGTCCCACACCACGCACTGCGCCGGGACACAGCTCAGCCATGGCTGGGCAGTGCTGGGCTGGGGTGGACCAAGCACCCCACACTGTACCCAGCCCTGGCACTGACCCCCCCACCATTCCAAGTGGTTTGGGGTGCCCAGACACTGGGTACATGTGCCCCAGGAACGGGGGTCCCCATTGCCCTTCCTCACCCTCAGCTTCCTCTTCTCCTCACAGCTGCAGAGCGAGTTAAGAGAGACCTTGAAGGGCTCCCATATGGGGCTCAGGTTGTTCTTCACCACCTGTGAGGCAAGGGGCTCAGTGGGGCTGGGCAGTGGCTGTAGGCTGACCATGGGTTGGGTGCTGCCCAGCCTCACCTCCGTGCGATACACGAGCTGCTCGCTGCGGTCGTCGTCGATGCGGTAGATCTCCAGGAAGGGATCCGACTTGCTGAAGAGGTCCTGGAGGAGGGAGCATGGGGTAGAGCCCGTGCTGTGCCCTGCCCACCCTGCTCCCTGCTGTGGGACACGGCTCACCTTGTCATCCAGCTTCTTGGCCCGGAAGGCGAGCTCCACGTACCCGTTGTTCCCCGAGATCTCCTCCGAGATCACCTGCGAGGAGAGGCAGCCACAGGATGCTCAGGGCCTTTGTCCCCCTGCCCTCCCTGCCTGCAGGGCCAGGGTGCTACCCAGCAGGGGACACGGTGCCATCTGCATGCCCTGGCACGGTGGGCACCCCCAGGGTGACAAACAAACATCAGTGGGACCCTGAGCCCTCCCCATCCCTGAGAGCCTGGTGGGCTGTGGGGCTGGATGGCAGCTGGAAAAGGAGGAGGGACACTGGGGACCTCCCATATGCCCCAGCTTGGGGTCACCCTCTCTAACTCAGTATCACCCCACTGACCCAGCTCAGTGCCATCCCAGCACCCTTGTCCAGTGCCACCCATGCGCCCCGTTCTGGTGCCACCCCAGGGTGCCAGCTTGGTGCCACCCATGCATCCCATGGTGCCGCTCACCGTGATGGTGGACTTGCCCGCGAACTTGCCGTACTTGAGGAACAGCGGCTTCGTCACCCTCTTCTGCGCCACGATCTGCAAAAGCCGAGGGATCGGGTTGGGGACACCACCAATGCGTGTCCCTGGGGTGGGGGCCGCCAGCTCACCTGCCCCACGGTGCACTCCATGCCCCCCAGGAAGTCATCGTCGTGCGTGCCCACGCCGGCGTGCCCGTGGCTGTCGTACACCTCAAACCGCAGCTTCTGCACCTCCTCGAAGTAGTAATCCACCGTGAAGATCTTGGCGAACACGGGGTTCAGGTTGCTTTTGATGACCTCGCTGCGGTCCACCTGCACGCAGGGAGCTCGGATGGGGGGCAGCGGGGACACAGCCCGGCTCAGAGATGGATCTGGGGCCACAGGAGCTGCCCGAGGCCTTGGGATGTCAGAGCTCATCCAGGGCCAGGGTTAGCTCAGGGATGCAGACACAGGGGAAGCCGGCCAGCTGCCGGGAAGGACCAGCCTTGCGCATCCACCGGTTTCCATACAAACAGCATTCGGAGGCAGCCCTGTTTTTGGCTCAGGCAGGGATGCGAGCGCCCTGCCAGGTCTCAGGTTCTGAAGCACTGCTCCCTTCAGGAACCAGGGCAAACCCCGTGGTCAGCTCAAGGGGATGCTCTGCCTCGGGACCGCAGTCTGCCAGAGCTCCAGCCAAGTGGGAGCAATGAGTTGGTGCCCAGGACAAGCCCCTGTGCTCCTACCCTGGGCTGGCCAAGGGCGGGGGTACCAGTCACCGGTCACCATGGCCGTGGCAGGCGGGGGGGTGCTCAGCATCTCTGGCTGTGCTGGCACCAAGCACTGAGCGCCTTCCAGGAGCCTCCCGCACATCCCATCCCTGCAGCGCTGACTCAACGGGACACATCCTGGCCAGGGCACCTCGCCAGCCTCCGTCCCCTGCCCACCACCTGCCTGGAACAGCAGCATCTGCTGAACCCACACCATCCGGACCCCATGGGCACCCTCCGAGGTGGGGTGGCCAAGGTACAGCAGGTCCAATCCGTGCAGCACTGTGCCTACAGCCCCATCACGGGGCTTTGGGTCACCTCAGCCCCTCTGGTGCCAGCCCCTCTAGCGTGTCCAGGGCTGTGTGCATGTGTGGAACATGGCATGGCACACACACAGCGTGGTGCATAGGGCGCAGCTGGCTCGGCACGGCACAGCCTGGCACGGGGCCCCTTGCAGCCCACCCTGGCTTCAGCTCTGGCTCCGTCGAGCAGAGTCAATTACACGCAGAGGGATTTAGCGCTCAATCTGCCGGCTGAGCAGCGGCGATTAGCAAGCGTGGAGCTGTCAGTGCCAGCATGGAGCTAATCCGTGGGGAGCGATGGGAAGGAGCCATCCCAGCCCCAGCGCCAACACCAGCCCCACTGCCAGGACCCCACAGTGCAGTGCAGTGAGGGGCACACGGCTGTAGGGCCAGCCCTGACCCCATTCCGAGCTCCCTGTCCTGGTCCCGAGCACGGTGAGACCAGCCCAGGGGTGGCCAAGGTATCCCAGAGCTTTACCCTGACCGAGATGCCTGCACTGTCCCCATGCACTGTGATGGTCCCACAGTGCCCTGCCCTGCCCCGTGAGCCTCCCTGCACCTTGCACCCTGCTCCCTGCACCCGGCACTGTCAGCTTTGCACCTTGCATCCAGCATCCGCTGTGTGCACCCTGCTCCCCACCATCTCCTGCACCCTGCACCCTGCTTCAAGCCCTGCACCGTGCTCTGAACCCCGCACCCTGCTCTCCATCTCCTGCACCCTGCTCCAAACCCTGCACCCTGCCCTCCATCTCCTGCACCTTGCACCTTGCCCCATTCTGTACAATCTCCTGCACCTTGCTCTGCACCCTGTTCACCATTTCTTGCACCCTGCCCTGCCCCCTGCACCGTTCTCCACCGTCTCCTGCACCCTGCACCCTGTCCTCCACCAGCTCCTGCCCCTTGCATCCTGCTCTGTACCCTGAACCCTGCTCTGTACCCCGAATCCTGCTCTGTACCCTGAACCCTGCTCTCCATCATCTCCTGCACCCACCACACCAGCTCCTGCCCCACCTGCAGCCCTATGGGCATCGCAGCCACTCTGGAGCTGCTCCAGGGACAGCACCACCACATCTGTTCCCGTCCCAGTGACACAAACCCTGCGTCCAGCACCCTTGCAAGTCCCCAATGACAGCCAGCCCCTGCCCCGCTGCAGTGGGTGCTGGCTGAGCCCCCTACCCTCCTACCTCTGTCCACTGTCCCTGGGACTGCATCAGCAGCAGGACGCAGGGGTCGGACTTGTTGAGCGTGTCACGGTCCAGGAGGTGCTTGCAGCTCACCCGCAGCTCCACCTTGGAGAGCACGGCCAGCGAGGCCTGTGGGGACGGCTCGTGCGCCTCACCCACGGTGCCCATGGGGCGCTGGGGGGCCGGGCGAGATGGGGGGCAGGCGGCTCCGTGGGAGAAGGGCATGTGGGGGGCAATGGGGCGGCTGCTGCCTTTGCTGCTCTCAGGGAGCCGTGCAGGCACCCGTCATGCCCGGGGCACGCTGCCCCACAGTGCCAGGCGTGTGGGGTCTGGCAGGTCCCTGGCGCGTCGGTGGGATGTTCTGGCGTGTGGAGGGGACCGTGTTTGAAGTGGGGTGCTGGTTCCAGTCCCAGTGGCTCCACGGAACCCTGCAAGACATGAAAGCACAACGAGGTGAGCTGGAGCTGGGTCACCCTTCGTGATGCTGCCCTGTACCCCCAAGCACCAGCCTGCCCCATGGGTGCTGCTGTGCCCCTGGTCACCCAACAGCACCCTGGGCTGAGCAGGAGTCCTGTGGAGCCATACCTAGCTCTGCCCCAGCCCCACTGAGGTGCAGGATGAGCACCCAAGTTGTGAGGCTGTGCAGGACTGGGGGTGACCACCCCGGTGCTGGGGAGCACAAACCCCCCTCCAGTCCCTGCAGGCAGTGGTGACACCAGATCCTTGTCCATGCTGCTGGGCGACGCTGGCAGTGCTGGCCACGTCCTGCTGCACCAGACAGGGCTCTTGGCACTTGGGTTATGGGGGGACTTCTCCCGTGCTGGGGACGGGGGCCACCCTGCACATCGATGCTGGTGATGCTCAGCCAAGTGATGCTGCCGTGAGGGGTCGTCAAGAGGCTCTGCCAGCCCCAGCACCCTGGGGCTGCCTGGCTTGGGCAGGGTCTGGGGCAGAGCTGCCCTCCTGCCATGCCCTAGCACGCCCAGCTCAGCCAAAGCTTCCCAGTGAAGCCACGCACGGCACAGGCAACCCAGCACATGGCTCTGGTGCCCCAGCTCCGGAGGGTACCGTCCTCTTCCCCAGGACCACAGGCACCCCTTGGCTACCCCCAGTGGAGAGGGCACCGGATCCCACCCTGCCCGGCCGAACCCCCTCACCTGGGTGCTGGTGCCTTGGGCTCTGCACGGGTCTGGGGTCGGTGTGCCAGCCGGAGCCGGTGTGCCAGCCGGAGCTGCCGCCGCTGCCACCTCCACACAACTGACTCAAGCTGCAGCTCGGGAGCGAAGCCCTAAGAGGGAGATGACAAGCTCCGTTAACTGCCTCGCTGCCGGCTCCGGCGCAGAGCCCACCAGCAGGCTCTGTGGCTCAGAGGGGTACCCCGGCACCAGAGGCCGTGCCAGGACAGATGCTCCCGCTCCAGGCGAGCCCCCAATACACAGCCCACACTTCCAGCACCCCACAGCCCCTCGCCCTCCACAGCTGCTCCCCAGGGCCCATCCTGGGTGCAGCCCCACACACAAACAGCCCAGTGCAAGGATGGGGAGCCCCAAACCACTGGGTGCACTCCCCACGTGCTGGAGCATCCAGACCCACACCCCATGCCCCGGCACCCCTCCCAGCACCCCAGAGCCGTGGTGCTGCCAGCTCGGCTTTATGAAATATGATATAATTAGCCCATATTTGGAGGGATTAAAATGCAGATAGGGCTAATGAGCATGAGGGCCCTGGGCTTTGGGAGCTAATCCCCAGCCTGCATGGCAGAAAGAGGCCACCCTGCTTCCCTGCAGCCCCATGGCGCAGCCAGGGAGGGACTGGGCAAAGAGAGGCTCATGCTGGGCAGACCTTGCCAGGGTGTTGGAGCACCCTCAGGTTCATCCAGCTCTGCTGGGGTCCCTGCACTGGAGCACTTCATCGCTTCAGAGCCTCCTTTCTGTCTCCGACCTGCTGATGAGAATGAATGATTCCATTACCTCAGCACTCGCAGGGCAGCCAGGCTGTGGAACAGCCCCAGAACTGGTCAGTCAGCAAACAGGAGCTCCCTGGAGCAAGACCGACCCCACAACCCTGCCCGTGACCCAACCACCCCCTGCCCTGCAGCACACAGTGCCCAGGAGCCCCACAACACCCATGAGGACAGGCCAGAAGACCCAGACCTTTCTACATGGCAGGGCTGGGCTCCTCTTCAATGCCATCAAGGTATTTCCCTGAAGAACTGGCTTAAAGATTCAGATAAAGAGAAGCCAGGGCAAGGCTAGAGGCAGGGTTAGGCTGGCTATGGATGCAGCACATCTCTACCCTCCCCAAGCACTGTAAGACCGGGGTGAGGCTTGTGGGGCAAGTGACTGCTGAGCCCTCAGGGGTGACACCCACCAACTGCTCTGCCTTACACACAACTGCACACAGAGCTGCGGACACCATCAAATCTGAAGTGATTTAATCTCACCAGGGAGGTGGGTTCCCCCCAAAATCCCCTCTCACAGTGCTCCATGGGGGCAGACCCACACTGAGGGGGGGGAGGGAGGGAGCACAGGCTGCAGCCCTGCAGACAGAGCAGAGCCCTCCCTGCAGGGTGCTGGTTCCACTCCCTTCCAGGGAAGTTGGGAGTCTCATCACCACAATCCGCACCAGGCACACACACCCGCTGCAGAGCGGGGTGGCTCTGTTCCATACGTTTGCTCTGAAAAGACAGCACACTCGTGTTTCCACATTTTTTATTGACAGCTCATTTCTTCTTCTCCACATCCTGCTCAGCCGCCTCTTTGGCGCGTTTTGCGCGGATGCCGAAGAGCCGGGCATTGGCTCGAGCCATGCGCAGGCTGGCGAAAGCCTTGAAGTTCTTTTCATCTTCCGAGATAACACGAGCCTTCTCCCGCTTGAAAACCTGGTGGAGAGAGCACAGACAGTCAGGCTGCACACCAGAGCCTCCCAGGGACCGCGTTCAAAGCTCAACACAATTAATCTCGCTCTGTTTCCATCACTCGCTCCGTGGTGCTGTGAACAGAGCACTTGTGCCATCTACAGGCCCTGCCCTCAGCATCACTCAGTCAGGCACCCCATTTCAACCCATTCCTGATTTGCCAAAACATACCAGGGAGAAAAACCCCACCAAACAAGCCCAACATGGGATCTGAGTCAGGTGTGTGGTGCTAACACACACCAACAGCGCCTTTTGGAAGCAGCAGGGGTTTGAGACAAGCGCTGACTACACGTGATTATTTCCAACCAACGCATCTGAACCCCTGACACTGAAGCTCTTCTCCAGAACACGATTTAAGGACCTTCTCATCTGGTTAAGTTTAGCAGAGCTCCAACTAATTAGTTCTTCGCAGTCTGCTTTGCAACAGGGAGGAAATAAACAGACCGAAGTACTTGTGGCAAAAGACAAGGATGAGGTTGACCTGTTGCTTCTTTTCTCTGCCCCAAGACGGGAAGTGTCTGGAGACAGCAACACTGAGCTGCTGAACAGCAGGAGAATCCTCTCCATAGAGCTCAAGTCTCAATTATCACACAGAAAACATGATTTAGCCACACTTACATTCTTGATCGGCATAACCGGTCCAGTCAGCTGAGTTGCCATCTTGAGTTCCTCAGCCTGTGGAACAAGAGGACAAAACCCATCACGGAAAAAGCAGCATTTAAAACTCCTTGGGCTGGCAGCTGGGTTAGAAGCGTGCACTGAGCACCGGTACCCAGCTCAATGCACTGCTAACAACTCTGACCGGAGATTTAACACTGACTCATAACAACTTCAGCATTTCAGGCACAGCCGTGCCGCATCGACAATCCGTGCTCTGCCTGGCTATCCATCAGCCCGGATCTGCCCAAAGGGGCAGTGGCCTTCTGATGTCCTGCCAGCTGGAAAAACATTGACATCCAGTGTGCCTGTTTTAGTTTGATACCCAGTATGTTCTGCAGCAATTCCTCCTAAGGATAAGTCCAGCTACTTGTAAGAGCGTGCCGTGAAACAAAAATGATTCAAGTTTTGTTTTAGATAGCTGATTTTAAGTAAAGACACTTGGAACAGTATTTCAGCATCTACCTACTGGCAAAGGAGCTTCATGCCCTTCCTCCCGTTTCAAAAAGCCTCCTGAGCGTGGTGGGCTCTGCTGTGGGTGACTGGCTCAAAACTGACTCTCCAGAAGATTGAGCACGCCACCGTTTCCCATGGCAAACACATACCATAGGCAAAGCCAAGGGACCAATCATATTCTGCATCTTGGTGGGATTTTAATGAAAAGCACTTTTGTGAGTTAACAGCAACAACCTCCTAAACACTTTCCTGCACATGGCCTTCGCTGAACTACTCTACTGAAGAGTTTGCCCTTGCTTTCCTCTCCCTTTCCAAGGCAGACCAGAACTTCATGCAGACTTTTCAGCTACTCTATTTAGCATCATACTCTGAAAAGATTACTCAAGTGGTCAGGCCCCACGTCTGAGGGCTTCCTTCAGCACCCTGGCAGTCCCTAGTTCAACAAACACTGCCTGACCACACAGCACTGGGATGGGCAGACTGACAATCAGGAACAGACCCTGGGAAACTGTGGACCAGATGACCTTTGAAGGCTCCTTCCAACCAAAACTGTTCTGTGATTCTAAACATCTGTAGCAGCCAACTACTTACAGAGCTGTCTCCCTTCTTCGGCATAGCCGGCTTCCTTGGGAAGAGGATAAGCTTGGAGTGGTACTCCTTCAGCCTCTGCACGTTGGCTTGCAGGGACTCCGTGGACTTGTTACGTCGCCGGGGATCCACAGAGATTCCAATAGTCCGGGCGAACTTTTTGTTGATGCCAGCGAGCTGAAGAGAGAGCAGAGTGTGTGGTGTCAGCATCTGACAAGCCCCAGTGCCACTGCCGGGACCCGCTCTGGTCATTAACCAGGGAATCATTCAGGTGTGGTCATCAGGGCTGCAGAGCATGGAGAACCACATCTAACCAAGCATCCTATTGGCAGTGTGAGGGTGAGGAACAGGGATCCACGTGTCACGGGCAACAGGGTGTCTGTGTTTTAGTGCTGAGAACGTTCCACTGAATTTACAGTGGTTTTTGCAGTGGGATTTCCTTAGGAGAGCAAAGCACAACCCCACGTAATCACAAGGGGGACGTTTAAACTCTGATACACGCAAGACAGGTATTTATCAAGTCACTGCCCAGATAGTTCTGGTTCACCTCATACAGTAATCTCCAGTAAATAAGTATTTTTTTGTAACCCGCTTAAGCAGGAAATAACTTCATCTTCTGTTTAAAGACAAACATCTGCATATCGTTTTGTATTCCACCACTATCCAAAAATTAAAGAAAAAGTAATGAAGCATCTGACATCCAGAAAAACTTTACTGTTTCAATGCACTAATTTCACTGTTAAAAATGTTTTAATTAAATGCTAAATAACACACAAGAGGCAGCTGCAGGCTGCCAGCAAGCCCTGGTGATTATTTCTGACCACTGCGAGGAGATACATGGGTGGGAGTTCCACAATCCACCTTTAACTGCTCATCGGCTCAGCGCATCTGGGAAGGTCACAGGAAAAGTTCCTGAATCCCACAGGATTTACAGTGTTCCTAAACCAACTCATAGCTACTGCACGAAAAATGGTCTCATGCATGTGAAACTATGGTGCACAGGTCCCTGTCCTGGCAACACTACCTCCTTGAAGTAAGTTGAACATGGTTTATTCTGTCCGCAACAGGAACAGGTTCATGTTGGGTTAACATTTTTGGGATTAGCAGAAACATGTTTCAAAATAACAAAAGAAATTAATGAAGAGGCTTTTAGCTTTTCACTCCCTGAAAGAAGCTGAGGAGACTCAATGAAGGCTCTTCCAGAGCCTTCAGAAAAGGACTTTAACAGTGTGACCAGGCAAAAGGACATTTCACTCTGACATACACTGCAACGCCACCCCCTGGTTAAAGGAAAGGCAAGACCAGTGTTTTCTGTGCCCCTGTAGAGCAGCAACTCTCCATGTCTCCCATAGCTGAGCCAGTGCCACCAAATACTGACAGCTTGGCACATGTTCTATATATGGAAGAACAGGCCAAGACAAGAAGCTTCAGCATCGAGTGAATTTGACTGGGTTGGGATCAGCGTGCTATACTTACCTTAAGCTCTTCCAGGCTGAAGCCTCTGCCAGCACGGACTTTTTTGTGGTACCTGATCGTAGGGCACCTCACTATAGGCCGAATGGGCCCAGCCACAGGACGGGGAGCGATGCGCCGAGCCCTTGCCTGGCGGGCCTTCCTCCTGGAATGTGAAACAGGACGGGGATGAGAAACACAAATCAAGGTATCACAGAATGGTTTGTGTTGGAAGGGAGCTTAAAGCTCCTCCAGCTCCAACCCCTGCCACGGGCAGGGACACCTCCCACCAGAGCAGCTTGCTCCAAGCCCCTGTGCCCAACCTGGCCTTGAACACTGCCAGGGATGGGGCAGCCACAGCTTCTCTGGGCACCCTGTGCCAGTGCCTCAGCACCCTCACAGGGAAGAGCTTCTGCCTTAGAGCTCAGCTCAGTCTCCCCTCTGGCAGGTTAAAGCCATTCCCCCTTACCCATGTCCACCTGCCCTTGTCAAAAGCCCCTTCCCGGTTTTCTTATCAGCCCATTCAGGCACTGAAAGCTGCTCTAAAGTCTCTCTAGAATCTTCTCCAGGTTGAACTACCCCAGCTCCTTCAACGTGCCTTCACAAGAGAGCTGCTCCACCCCTTGGCTCATCTTTATCGCCTCCTCTCTCAGCGCTGCCAGCTGATAAGCCCTGCAGGGAAGGCTCCTGCCATACAGGAATCTCTCAGACACAAACGCATCGCTATTCTGGCTCCTGGATGCTTCTATAGAACAGCTGCAGTCATCAGACACAAAAGGGTTCAAGGGAATCATCAATGTCGTACAGCGATTCCGGAGATGTCTCATCACTTGACTGCAGCCGGAACGGCCTGACCCTGACCAAAGCCACCCCGCACCAAAGCAGCAACCCCAGCTCTCCAGCACGTAACCTCGGGGCAACACCCGGAAAGAGCCACGCAGCTCTCCAGCCTCCCAAGCAGCCCCACACGAGGCACAGCCCCCCCAGGCCCCGCCGTGCCTCACCTGCGGATCTTGCGGGCGGGCTGGTTGAACCATGTGGCCACTCGCCGCTGCCAGTCCTTGTGGAAGTGGGGCTTCAGGATCATGCCATTGCGGCTGGGCGCCATGGCTGCTGCGGCCTGCGGACACGGGCACGTCTAAAAGCGGAGCACACCCCCCCGGCCCCGGGACAAGTCCGGAGCGCCCCAAGCCCCCACCACCCCGCCCGGGGCAAGGCCCCATGTCCAGGACCGGAGCCTCCTCCGGGCCCAGCCGGTGCATCCCGCAGAACCGCGCAGGGCTCCGGTGCACATCGCGGCCCGGCGCTGAGCCGCGGATGGCGGCGGATGGCGGCGGATGCAGTCCCCGATGGCCGCAGCTCCCCACTCACCTCCCGCTGCCGTTAATGGCCGACCGGAAAAGGAAGGCAGGAAGCCGCACACGCCGGAAGTGCGGAGGAGGGCGGAAGCGGAAGCGCCTGGCGGCGGCTTCACTGCGCCCGTAGTAAACGTGGCGGCGGCTTAAAGGGCCCGCGCCCCAGCAGGGCTCGGACACAGCGACCAGGCTGGGGAGGGGTCGGGGGCCCCACGCACCGTGTCCTGCAGCAGCCGAGGAGCTGTGGCAGCCGCCACAGAGCATGGCCACAGCGGCTGCACAGTGGCAGCCACCGAGCATCCTGCGCTGTCCCCCGAAACATCCCCATGTCCCACCACTAGAGCCATCATCCCGTGAATCCACTTGGCAAAGACTTAAAAAGTCCTCACAAAAATATCAAACACCAATTGACGTTTCATCTGCTGATGAAAAAGCAAATTCAAAGGATGAACTTGTGAAGAAACAAATAGGTTTGGAATTAAAACATACAGGCAGCAACATCCCAAGTGTAGGAAGGCAAAGGAAATGATCCCCACCAGCAGGGGGTCCAGAGGGAAGGCTCAAGGGTTGGTGGTGGCAGGTGGCTCCATGATGGGGCAGGGAAGAGGACACCTTGAAGAACACCCTCCTGTCAACACTGGGCTCTGCACATACGTTTTCCTCAATCTCTGCTTGCAAGACACATGCTATGAAAACTGAATACGAGCTACTGGCCAGGGAGAAGAAACCCCCTGTCCTGTGCAACTCTGTAGCTGTAATAAGCTTTCTATGTGCCAAAACACGTTATCATCTTGACATATTCTACAAGCACATCAGCACATTATAGACAGTTTATTCTAGTGAAGTCTGTTTTTCAGCTTCTATTTTAATGTTCAGCAGCAACAGTGATCAAAGGTGACAGCAGAGTCACACAGCAACTACACCCCCTCAGCTATGTTGGGGTTTCACTATATGACTGTCCTGGCGCTGAAGGGACAGCCCTGCACTCCTGCCATGCACCACAGCACAGCTAGAGGTGGCTTATAAAGACTCCACGGGATCTTTTTCACCCTTAAGACCATGTACATCACTGCTGTGTACAAGAAATCTTTCCAGTGGATTAGACTTACCCGACTCCTAATCACTACTACCCTGCTGAGAATCAATTTCAAAGTTCTAAGGAGCTCTCCTTCCTGCAGTAAAAGCTCATTAAAAGAGCCAACATAGCCAATTTTTTTGGTTAACAGCAGCACAGAGATTCCCTATTCAGTATCTTTAATTCTGGAAAAGGGAAAAGGTCTGTGTCCAAAATAAGCCTCTCAAGTCCTCCCATTCCACATCACGAGTGGGCTTCATACTGGTCTCAGACGTGGTTCCTCCTCCTCCTCATGGTTGGGTGGCTGCTGGGGCATTTCTTCATCTCTTGTCTCTTGCTTGTCTCTCTCTGCTTGAAGCCAGCTCTGAGGAGCTATCATTTTCTTTGGCCCGTAGGGTGGAGGCCCAATTAAGGCTTCAATGTCATCATAATTTATCACTTCTTTCTCCAGGAGGGCATTAGACAGCTAGAAAGAGTAAACAAGATATAATGAGGCACAGGGGTTTGAAAAACAGTCTCTGAACTGATCTGAACTCTCCCTGCCAGCTCAACAAAGATCTTAGTATCTGAACCCTGACTACCACAGCACAGACGGTGGGACCCCAGAGCCTGCAGAAGCCACCTTAGTTCTCCACCTTTCACAAAAGCATATTTGTCCAGGAATACAGAGCATGACTGAAGGCAATAAAACAAGTTCTAGGGAATGATTTCTCAAGTCAGAACTCCAGGAATAACTGAAGACAAGCCCTTCCTGCCACTGTCACTGCACCTATGGACCGGCCTAAGATGCAAAGTAGCAGCGCATGAGACCGTGGTCAGACCTGCTTCCCTCCAATGCACACACAGTGACAACAAAGAGCTGTCTGTTCCTGCAGGCGTGGGCTGAAGGTCATCAGAAGTTCCTCTCCAGCAAAGCTGAATGCTCTGGCCCCTCTGCCAGCAGAAGGGCTGCACTTGAGCAGCAGGTGGTTGTCAAACGTGGAACTGCTAAACCCTGCTGACAAGATGCGATACACTGGCCTGGCAACTGAAATGTTCACCCTGTAGATACTTTGGCTTAACTTAAAAGTTTTATTGTGATGAGCCTGTAGCAAACATCTGACTGCTGTTAAATGAAAGCAACAGAAGAGAAGAAGCCTGCAGAGAAGAGACCCCTCTAACAAGGCTTGCCTTCAGAGTTCTCCCTGGGCACTGTCCTGTGGACAGGGCTGAGATATGGCCAACAGCAGGGTGCCTAAGCAAGACTGCTCTGGCTACCTTACTACACACAGAAGGTCTGCAGTTGTGTAGCTGAAGGGGTTTTTGCTGTTGTCATTGTTCTTGTTTGTTTAAAAAGAAGATTTAAATAAAACAATTGCTTTATTTGCAAAACATGCAACACTGAGTTGACTGCTGGTTATTTTGGATGTCATGGGCCAGACTTCTGAAGGAAAGATCAAGTAGATACACAGGGTGCTGTGACCCAAGTGTGGCTCAGCCCAGAGCAATGGGTACAGAGCTCCTGCTGAGGTGGTGGGGACATGCCAATGTGACTGGTGAGGGGACTGTCAGGACAGAGGGGAGGAGGCAAATAAGGATTCCTTGTTATACCAGGTATCAAGGAGGTGGCAGGTGAAAACTGCTTGGAGTCCCCAGAAAGCATGAACCAACACCAGTCATCCAAGGTGACAGGTCCTATATTCTCTTCATCAAAGCCAGAAACAGCCCACTCGGTTCCTGTGCACGTACAGGACCTGGAAGGATGAGCTGTTCCTGCATTTGCGGGCTTCACAAGAACAGTCAGTCTGCTCTACAGGAAATTACACTGCAAAGAGGCTAGCAGAGAAGTGCAGGTGAGGGGGACAGATTCCAGCAGTGATCACTTCCACAGAGCACTCCTACTCCTCTATCCTGCAAATACCAGCTGGTGTCTGGAGGCAGACTACTTGCTGTTGGAAGAGCACACATTCCTCCCTGCACCTGCTCCTGATCTGGGGCGTCTGCAGTACTTGCTTGTTCACACCATGAGCCCCAGCATTCCCTCTACAAGACTTTGTAGGACCACAGAGACACTGCAACAGCTGAGCTTGAGAGCACAGAAAGTAGCAAGGCAAAGAAGTAACAGGTGAAAAAACCAAAACCACCCTTCCCCTCCCTCCCCTCCAACTTACTATTTGTAGCTTGTCCCTGTTCTCCAGTAAGAGCTTTTCTGTGCGCCTGTAAGCCTGAGCCACCAGGACTTTTGCTTCCTAGAAGACAGTAAAAAGGAAAGAGACATTTGGAGTGCAACAAACACAACGTAGATAACTGAGGGACAGAATCTGCAGACTGAGACAGGCAGAAAGTGGTTCCCATCAACAGAAAATACAGACAAACCATGTGAAAAGCAGACAGAGGAATATTCAGGATAAGGAACAGTGAACTCCTGCACTAGCAGAACTCCCCAGTAGAGTCCCAGATGGTGGGAAACGCAGTGTAATTAAGGAGGCTGTCTGGTAGCAAAAGATGCAGCTCAGCACAAATCCCAGGGAAACAAACTCACTAGAAATTCACTCCCCAATGGCTAACAGAAAAACATGAACTGTTTGGGTGCAAGTTTTTTTTTCACCGAGCTGCAGAAGTGAAGAACAAAACCAGGAATGTGTAAACAAGGGTGGCCTTACATGGTCCATCATCTGCTGAAGTCCCTGGCTGAAAGGGCGCCGACCAATTCCAGGTGCACTATCGAGGTCTGGGAAGGAGACCTGCCCAATGCTGGGTACCATTCCATACTGCTTCACCATGGAGTAGGCTATCTTGGTCACTTTCTTCAGATCATCCTGTGCTCCTGGGCAAGAGAGACCAGACACAGTGCCTACCAGCTCTGAACTGAGTGCAAGCGAATCACATCCCCCACAAACACACATTCTGCTAGTCAAGAGACCAGAGGTCCCACAGGAGACCATGGATGTGAACACCCCACCTGCTGATGGACCTTTCTACATGTACTGCAGGACCCATGTGTGACTGAGTGAATCTACTGGAAACTAGCTTATGTGGAGTGCTTACCTGTTGCTGCTACCCCATTTGGATGTAACTAGCTGGAAACATGGCACAGAAAGCTCTAGGCCCTCCCATGAGTGGACGGTCTCCCTAGCCTTAGGCTTTGGAACAAGTTTAAGACAACACAGTGGCAACCAACAAGAGACGTCCATGCTCACAAATTCAGGCCCAAGATCAAATCATGCAATCTGACATTTCTTCTTGGTGTGGGAAAACTTTATCTCTTGCTCAACACACCCTTGGACAGAGCAAGCACAAGTTCAGGATGTCTTAGCACAATCTCCAGGGTCTGTGCCAGGTCTGGCTCCTCACCTGTAGTGACTTTGTTAAAGGTGATGGCCTCGGACACTCTCCCTCCCAGTGCCATACACATCCTCTCCATCAGCTGTTCCTTTGTGAAGAGGTACTGCTCTCTTGGAAGGATCTGAGCAAATCCCAGAGCGGCGTTTGTTCGAGGGGCTATGGAAACCTGCAACACAGAGCAACTCTGTTCAGAGAGCAAAAGAGTTCCCAACTGCAGCAGCAGAAAACGAACAGGAAGAGGTCTGCATTCCCAGTGAAATCTGTGTAAAGCTACGAGACAGGCTGGCCTACAGAGATACCCCAAGGACTGCAGTAGGTTACCATTCCTGTACTGAAGGCTGTGCCTCACAGCTTCAGACATAAGCTTTCTGCCACTTTCTGCTCAAGAAATGGAAAGGAAATCATCCTCAATAGCAAGCCAGTGAAATCCTGAGATTTAGGAGTTGCTTTGGAGAGTATAAGCCAAAGAATTCACTTCACAGTTCCAGAATCACTGAGACTACCTGAAGAAAGACAGGATGCCTTCAGAAAAGTAAGAGCCCTTTCCCATATGCATTAAAAGAGGGTAATTAACAACAGTTCAGCTCATACAATAGGTCATTCAGAATTAATTTGCTGCTGGTGAGGAGCCAAGGAGCTGTCTCCCTTGTCGTTTCCACTCCCTATGTCCTCAGTGTCAAGGCTTTTTGAGGAGATGTGCACGGGAAAGAATACACCCTGGGGTGCCAAAGACAGGCCTTTCCCTGCAGAGAAGGTCTTTTTCAACCAAAATTACTCTGTATTAACCCTTTATTTTGCTGCAGTATTCACAGCTCAAAGCTCAAGGAGGCCAGCAGCAGAATTCAACAGAAACACTAGACAACAACCAGCAAATCTCAGAGAGGAGAAGCCCAAAGGACTTATCTTCACACCCAGTGACAGGCTTCTTTACACATGAGCTGGTAGTGTAGTTACCTTCATCACAGCTTCAGTGTGCTCCAGCAGCCAGCCAACCAGTGCATGGCCTGATTCGTGGAACGCCACAACCTTCCTCTCTTCTGGTGACAGGATCTGACTTCTTTTGGCAGTGCCTATAGGAACACAGACAAGAATTTAATGAGATTGCCAGCAATAGGTGCAACCAGCAGGGCATAATCTTGTGCTCCAGCTAGCGCAGTCTGGGGCTAACTACCAGCAAAAATCACACTGCACTCTTGCATAAGAAGAGGCAGTAAAAAGTGCTTCAGTTACATGCTGTGGAAGAGGTGCTCTCTTCCCCTGCAGCAGAAAGCAACCCAGACCTGAACTGCTTGAAAATACTGGCAGAAACTTTTTCCCCCTTTCCTCCTTACAACAGACTTAATAATTTGACAATTTAACATCTGATTAGATCACAGCTCTAGAACACAAAGCTCTGCTCTGCTCCCAGCTCTGCCAAAAGCATGTCACAGTGTATCTCTGCCCAGGGACAGATCTGCAACAAGTCACCCTACCATTTGGAAAAACAAAACAAAAAACAAACCAACAAAACCCAAAACAGAGACTAGCTATAGTATCATACTGATTTGGCCGTATGGTCTTTCTGTCCCTTAGGCAGAACATGAGAGAAGCAAGATGTTGCATTACATATAAGGTTCTAGTTGAGATTCTTGTGCGTGAGCAGTGTTCAAATCAGCAGAAGACCAAAAGTATATATATAAAAAAAATAATCTTTCTCCAGACCCTGGAAACATCTCTGATTACACATGGCATGCTCCGCATGAGCTTATTCCCAGGCTCCTGAGGACTAGCAAATTAAGCCATAACTCTCATTTAATACTTCCTCCAAAAAGGTGATTTTCAAATGCATTTATTTTCCAACCCAATAATCTGCAACACAGAGTAAGTCCAATAAGGATTAAAACATAAATGCCAAATGGAAGTAAAATTTCTAGCATATAGAAAATATGTTAACTACAGAATACCCTGCGTATCAAGCAGTTATTACACTGCTGCATGTTGAATGCAAAAAGGTACCAGTACTTTAAAGCCAATGTCTCCAACAGTGCCAGGAGCAGCAGGGGGTAGCACAGGCAGACTCAAGAGCAGCATTACACCAAGCTTGCTTCATGTCTCGGAAAACAACATTCTATTAACATTAATTTTTAAACAAAGTTAAGAGCTTTATTAAACCAGGAAACAGCAAAATTAGTGCGGCAGATCTTGTAAAATTACTGCTCAGGGACCCTGGAAACCACTGTGCTCCACAAGGCATGATGGTGATGGAAGAGCAGATTAATTTTCCCAGGGAGGTTATTAATGCTCCATCCCTCGAGGTGTTCAAGACCAGGCTGGACAGAGCCTTGGGTGTGCGAGGTGTCCCTGCCCACAGCAGGGGGGTTAGAACTGGATGATCTTAAGGTTCTTTCCAACCCTAACTATTCTATAACTGCAACAGCCTTGATTTTTATCAGTCAGTCCCTTACCGTGCCTTCAGCAGTGTGTGTGCATGTGCCTGTATGTCACCTTCTGCAGAAAGATGTGTATATATATATATATATATACATACAGACACTTAAATTCTGTAATCATTCCTCTTTCAGCCCACCAAGGAAGGAGGGACTGTACTCTTCTCAACAGCACACACAGTGTGCTTACAAAGATTATTTCTTCTCCTACATAAAGTTCATCTTCAGGCATGAAAGTTTTCTATAGGCCTGTACTTACTGCATTTAGGAGACAACTCAGGAAACAACTCTGGTGCATCTCTGCTGCCCTTACACAGAGGACACAAACTCCACCAAGAAACCAGGCTCTTCTACATCTTCTAAAGACAACCCCTGAAAGCCTCTGTGCACTCAGCAGGTTTCCTCCCTCACTCCCAGGAGACCTGACAACTTACTGACTGCTTTCTGTTCCCAAACTAAAAACACAATGGGGACTACCACAGAGAAAAGTTCTTACTCCTCCCTTACAGCAATACAAAGCTTTAAGGCTGAGAGAGCCTCTGGACTTGCAAAGTTCTCTTTTGATTCCACACCATTTATTAAAACCAGAAGCTTATAATGAAAAGCACAGTAATATTTTCGTTCTTTCAAGAAAAGCTTTTACAGCAACTGAAATGCCCTCCGGATTGTGAAACCCAGAAGCATTCCTATTACATGGCAAGGGTACATTCAATTTACAAGCCTGAAGGGTTGTTTGAGGTCTTTTAGACGTAGTGTACAGAAAATAGCCAGGTCCCAATAACATGAAAGAATCCAATTCTGCAACAAAAAGACTGTAAGGCCTCCTACGCACCACAGAGCCTTGGGGAAGCATGTCAGCTTCTCAGCAGTGAAATTGCTGAAGCCCATGCCCTGCAATGCCCCACCACATTAACCCCCTGTGGCCTTACTTGCTCTTTGTCTCATCTTCCAAGTCTGGGGAACTAAGGCAAGGATGGAGGTCAGAAAGAAAATACAAGTGAACCCCCTAGAAGTTTGGTGCTTTCTCTTCTGCAGACAAGAAATAAAGCACCTCTTTCCCCAGCTTAAGAGGACTTCTGTGTTACTAGAGTCATCTCATTGTTGACTCCTGGGAGCTGCTGGATACAGTCTGGGATTTGTGTGCGACCACAGTCACCAAACCAAATCCCTTGGAGTGCTTTGAAGAGGCAAGTGAAACTGTCAGAGTTTTCCCAAAAATCTCTTAAGTGAGGAATTGTTTAGGCGTTTTCTGATAAAGCAAACACTAAGGACTGAATTCCAGGATCAGGAAATAACTGACCCAGTGCAAACATCCTGTTCCACACGCTCTAAACAAAGCACAGAATGCCTGTCTGTTTGCCCAGGCTCACCCCCTGGTAATGACACTGCAGCTTGGAAGCACTCAAGCGTCTGATTATGAAAGCCACAGCTTGGCTATAGGGCTGCTCACACTGAAACTCACCGGATTCAAATCCCTCAGGTGAAGTCAAGTGCTCTGGGAACTCTTTTTCCCTTCCCTATAATATACTACTACAGGGTAATCTCCAGAGGTTCCTCTGCTGACAATAGCACACTCAACAGGGAAAGGCTGACAGGATGTTCTCAGAGAGAGAACAGTAGTCTACTGTCTTTCAGTTTATTCTGCCAATTCATCAAAGTCTGGGCTTTGAGACCGAACAGAAAAATCTCTGATTTCTTGCTGTTGAGGATGTGTAGCCTATTTGCTATTCATGTTTATGCAGCAGGTGTCCAGAGCAGCAAGAAAAACCCTGAGACACTTCACTCCTTTTCTTCAAAAAACAAACCAAACCCCAACTCTTTTGAAACCAAAAAAGCCATACAGATTGTAATTCCTCTCTTTACTGTTTTACTACTGGCCATCTCCTCTGAGCTACTGGTTGAGGTTGCCTAAAAATTCAGAAGACAAATCCATACGGGGTCTTGTCTGGAGAATTATCTGTGACTGTAAAATCCTAAAACCTTCAGGTCAGCACTACAGGACAAAGCACAGTTAGGACCCATGTGTCTTCCTTGACTACAACCCACTCACTTGAGCCTTCTCTCAAGAAGTATGGCACAGACCAATAAGACTAGAGGGAAATTAAATGCCTGGATCACTTACCTGCAATGACTCTTTCCACAGCATATTCAAAGTTGAAAGTATCAATGGATTTGTGACCTTCTCTAGCAGCATGAAGAGCAGCTTCATTACATATATTCGCTATGTCAGCTCCTATATACAAGAGTTTACAAGAATTACATTGGATTTGTTACATGACAGAGATTGCAGAGGACAGAAGAAGCAAGAACAAATCTGGAGAAGGACCTAAGCAAGTCAACTAGCTTGCACTTTTTTGCTCCCTGGCAGCAAACCTAGCTCACGGTGTTTATGTGGGGTTTGAACAATGCAACTGCTTGGCAATCAAGGCTGCGTTGCCACACAGAGGACAGAGTTCAGTGATCAATAAAGAGGCTAAAGCCAAGGCTGGCTCTCAGTGACGGGAGTAGGCAGTCCGGGCTGGCATGGGCTGCTGTTCACGCAGCGACCGCACAACCTCTGTGTGGAAGAGAAAGAACATCTGTTCTGAGTTTGTGTGTGTGGGTGATGGTGGCGGGGGGCTGCTGAAAGAAGTCACGAAGAGGCAGTGTGCTGGGGCCTGTTAGAGGGGAAACCCAGAAAGAATATTCCAGGAACTCCAAATCAACAGGAACTCCGGAGCCCCTTGCACAGCGCTGTTTCAAACTCCCAGGGACCTACCCTGGAAACAGGCTTAGTTTGTCTGACTGACAAAGTAATTCTATTTATTCCTCCTATCACTTTCCTGGTAATACATATCAGCTTTGAGACTTTTCCCACTGATTTGCAACATCTCAGCCTTGACAACAGCTTGGATTCGGAGCATGAGCAGTGGTTCCTCCCCTTAGGAACTGAGAACCCAGGCATTATAAAAAAGTATTTTCCTATCCCCACACCCTGCTACTCCCAGAAGTTTCAGCAGATTGGAAATAGCCATGAACAATTGCTCATCAGAGCTCATCAGGGAGCTGGTTAGGTTCCCACTATTTCCATAGCGACAGAGGCAGCTTGAAGAAAAAACCCTTTAGACCCAAATAGTTAAAACTAAGCAACCACGAAGCTCCAGCCTGAACTGCAGAACTAGTGCAGAAGCAGACAGAGCAGCCCCACTGGGACAAAGCATGTCATACCACTGAAGCCTGGAGTCAGTTCTGCAAGGTGCTGTGAGTAGAAGCTGGCATCTTGGATCAGTTTGAGGCCCTTCAGGTGCTGCTCGAAGATCTCTTTTCTCTCCTGTAAAGAGCACAGAATACCTGAGCCCAACCAAGTCTTTTCGACGTGGCAGCGTCAGTGCTGTCCCTCCGGAGAGAGCAGGGGAGGAACAGACCTCTGGCAGTGGGGACACGGTGACATTGCCACCAGATGGCAGGGCTGCCCTTACAGTGTGGTGGTGCTCCAGGAACCCTGGTAAACACCCGGCCCAAATACAGAACAGATGTACAGAGGCTTACCGTGAGTCACTGCTTTCTCTCTCTGGCCACTCACCCCTCCTAACTTTCACTCTGATCTGTCTTAACTTTTCTCTTACCATGAAAGCACTTGCAGGAAGGAGCTCTGACTGCCTCTACCTGTTTCCTCACACACTCGAACTGCAAACCCCGTCTACTAGCTCCTTCACCAGAGACCACTTCCCAGACAAAGGTGGGGGTGAGATGACAGCTGGCAAGTAGTCAAAGAGTGACTCATGCAGCTGGTCCAGGAGATCCTGATTAAAACAATGGTCTCAGTTGCCAGGGTTTTTCCCCTTCCTCCTTCAGGGCAGCTGCACAGTTCATGCTTCCGGTGCCAGATTCTATCAGGCATTTAAGGTATTTTAACTGAAAACTCTTGAGGACAGCAGTAAAGCACAGATGGGAGAAGAAGAGCCTGTGCTGGCAAAGCAGACAGATCTTTACTGCAGCTGAGCCTACTCCCAAAACTCTATTACAAATGTCAACACAGCAGACATGGAAGGCTCCTAGGAAATGGATTTAAAGCATTCAGAAGGAACAAGTCACTTAACAGGCTGCTTAAAGGAAAAAGAGGAGCCTTACAAGGATAGTGAGGACAATAAACCTACAGAACAAATGGTGCTCAAGGCACATGACAATTTAAGCTCTCATTCTCACATAAGCCAACTTGCCAATTATGTGGCTCCCAGTTTCCTGGACAGAAGACACATAGTTCTGCATCTGCATGGCAAAGCAAATCTCACCAACAAAGCTGGTACCAGAGCAGAGACACTTACAACCAGCAAGTGGTATTTCAGGGAAACAAGCAATTGTGTTAAGAGTGTCAAGTCCTTTATCTACAGCACATAAATAAAGGCAAACAGAAGCTTACCAGCTCAACTTTCTCCAAACTCAGCTTTTGACCTACCAATGAATGGATCACCACTGAGGACTGGGAAACCTTAGTCATCAGCATCATGGTAAGGACAGGGCAGTAGATGGAATGTACCTGGAGTGTTGGAAGATCAATGAAGATATGCCTGTCCAGCCTCCCAGGTCTCATCAAAGCATTATCCAAGACATCAGCACGGTTGGTGGAAGCCAGCACTATGACATGATCTGTGGTCCCCATTCCTGTAGAAAAAACAACCAAAAATCAAAAGTGACGGGTTTTCACCATGGCACATGCTGCTTTGCAGGCGTACGAAGGGATGAGGCACAGCAGGATACAGGGAGTATTTCATAAATCTTTATCATAAAAAGCCAGAGGGTGTTTACAGCATCCTTTGGGGCAGCTGAGGCTGACAAAGTGTCCTTCTCTCCAGCTGGGAGCACAAGACAGGAAGGAACCTCACAAGTGACACAGGCCAGTCTGGTCATCACAGATATCCTGAAATTCCCTTTTCATTTACTCAGGAAATCATGGCTTAAAACTTTTCCCCCCATTTAATTTTGCCACATTTGAAAATTGCTCCAACTAGAAACCAGAACAGAACCTTTCTATTCTGGTAAGTTAGGAGATGCCTTCTTATCCACAGGCTTATGTCAATTGCTGCTCTTTTAGCTCCAGGTTGTGCAAACAATGATGAAACAGCCTTTCCCTCACAAGTATTTCTGTGCAAAGCCCTTCCAGATTTTGTTTACTTTTAGCCTTCAGTCAGAGGCAGCCCACCAGGATCATCAACTCAGGTTAATACAGAAAGAGGACACAGCCCTGCCACCCTGCAAGGAGCATGTTATAGCATGATTTATTCTTTGCCTTCTCACTCATCTTTTATCACTCAAAAGACACCTGGGCATACTGCAGACCACTGCAAAGACCAACCCTGCAGAACTTAAACCACGGACACGTAGACAGATACGAAATACAACCTAATAGTTCTGCAGTGATGATTAGCATACACTAGCTCAAACCACAGTCAGAGAAGGTTTTGTCTCCAGGTCTTAAAGATGAAGGAAACACCAGGATTTAGCAGCTGCATGAGAGCAGCCTGGAGTACAGAGGCATCAAAGGCAGACAGGGCTTCCCGGGGAAGCCAGAGCACTTGCATCTGGAGGAGGGCAGGAAGGGGCAGGCGGTTGTGCTGCTTGGGTGGGGAGCCAGAGATCACACTGAATCACTCAACCACGCTGCTTATTTATGACACTCCACCAGGTGCTCACAGGCCCTTGGGTATGAGTCACCTGCTTACAGCAGATTCAAAAGCCCTGGCACACAGCAGCCTTCCTAGGGAAAGGACACCTTAGTCCCATGCGCTTCCCGGGCTGCCAAGTCACATGCTGCAGAGGCAGCTTTATGCACATAAGCTGGGCGGGTTTCAGTTCTCTCCAGCTCCACTGCAAGTGCTGCCAAATGTGTCAGCGTGCAAGAGCTCAGCAGAGAGATTAAGGTTACAGGTAAGTCAGAGGACTGGCTCTGTCAGCTTGTGCTACAGCAAACCTCAGTTCTTCCTCCCTGCAGGATGCTGTCTAAATAAGCTCCTGGAGAGGATAAAGCCAGCCATCCTTCAAGCATGAATTACACTGCACTTTGGAGTGTGATAAATAAGCAGGGAGACTGGCAGGCACTTGGGGGATAGCAAGCTTCATTCACAGGGCAGGATTAGATGGTACAGTACATTATCTGCTTTGCAGCTGGGAAGACTCTCTTAAAATAGGTCTGACTATTAGAACAAATGAAAGAAAAACCCAGATATACTGAGAGCATCCTTCTCACATTATCTTCTGCCCCACTTGCTCTCAAGCCTGTATCCCAGTGGTGTGAAACAGTGTTCCAAGAACTCTAGTACTGCAGCCTCCAATTCATATTACTGTTCCCAATGCAACATCACCTGGCACATCACAGGACTTGGCTTTCACAGGCAAAGATGCAGACTGTTCCTTTGGCTAAAATCCACCACATGGGTCACATCAACAAACGAAAAACAGCTCTGTAAATTCAGCCTAAAGAGAGCCTTTGTATCTACAGTGCCTACAAATGAAGCCACTTGAAGAGAGAAAAAAGAAGGGTCTACTTGAGCTGGCAAGTGTTCTGCTCACCACTGACACAGAACAAGACTTTGATGGGCATCTCACCTTCAGTTTTACACTGTGTAATTCTCTAGCTATGTTTTCAAAAGCCTTCTGGACATCATCTGTGAACAGTATCATTAAAAGACAGCCACCTTTGTGAGGGAGGCCCTGGAAGGAGAAGTTTGCATACAGCAAGAACAGCGGAGAGGTTTTGTCTCAAGACTTAGGTGAAGAGCTGCTACCAAAAAAACCTCCTGCACTTTCACTGACAAAACACATATCAGCCCAGACTGTCAGGCTTCTCTCAAATGCATTCAGAACAGAGGAGATATTTGGGTCGCATTCCTCTTCCGCTTGTTTGCGGTTTGTGAGGGAAGATTCACTATTCAACCAGGCACCTGTTTTGACAAAGATGGGAATACATGCGTCACTCTGGTTTTTAGAAACAGCTTTTCTACATACAGGCTCCCTCCAGTCCCTCCCCTTCTCCCAGCAGATTCTTGGTGCTTCCAGAACACAACGAAAGCTGTCAGAGTGGAGGAAACCAAGGTCACTTGTAGGAAGAGCACAATTACTCAAAAATTTGTGTACCAGAATTACCAAGTATCAAATTGCACATTCATTCCATGCAGCTGAGCAGAATGGCTTTTCTCTGGGTGTCCTCATCCTTCCTCCAGCCTGCAGAGCAGGTTCCATAGAGCTCTGACCCTCCTTTTCTTCCTCTGCCTTACCTATGAGTAATCTCAGAAGAACACATTAATTCAACAATCACTGCTGATGACTCAGATCTACTTTTGTGCACAGGTTTTTTTTTTCTTCCAAATTAATAGCTCCCTCGGTTCTACAGTACTGCTTTTCAGAACTTCAACCATCAATTTCAGCTAAACACAGCCAAAACAGAGCTCTCAACATTCCATTTCAGGGCTTCCTCTTTACAAGCACACGCCATTCCTCTGCTTGCGCTTGGATAGTGCCCCTAAAAAACCTTGCTCAGTATTACCTTGAAAACTGTTTTGCCATGATGCACATAGCATTTCACCATTCAGGTAGCACACTCTGTTAGGTAACATCGCAGCAACATGTGCTAAGATCACTGCTGATGAGTACAAACCAACAGTAAGTCCATGTTTCTTGTACCAGCCTGCCAGTCCTTGCCAGCTGTCTCCCATTTGACACTGTTAACTCCTTGGGCTGGTTTTTTAGTGTGTTTGATAAAGCACTTAGCAAAATGAGGGACTTAGTATCTGTATGAAACACGAATAAATAATGAGACAATATAAATTTTAAAATAAACCAGGCATCACAGAGCAAACAGGGGACTATTAAAGTAGGTATCAAGGATAACATTTACCTTCTAAAATCACTTTCCCATAGTGCTGTACCCTAATTTCTGAATTGAGACTCACCAAGAAAACACACTAGAAACCATGCCCAATTTTTACAGACTAGAGGAAATCAGACACTTTATTTTTAGTACAGAGACGTGGATTGTACTGACTACAGATTCCTGAACAGACACATGGGCTTCCATTTAATTCAGTGTTAAGCTGCTGCCAGCTCACCCTACAACTGTCAGGAGAAAAGAACAACCCACCACGCCAGGATTGCTGTTCAGTGTGTTACTAACTGGACTTTTCTGTTGAGAACATCCACTGTACAGATACAGCTGTAAACAGTTATATTCACTCCAAGCATATTTGCGTGCTTGGCCAAGTTGCCTAAGATCGTGCAACTGCAAAGTTCCAGGGAAGTGCACATACGTATTTAAGGTGATTCCTGGTACTTATGCAGCATTGTGTGTTTCAAGCACATTCCTCTGATAACCAGACTTCTGTCTGGCTGTTTAGGATCTACTTAAAGCTCATTCCTCCTTCAAAAACTTCTTGGCACCTGTGCTGAAGCAGAGAGAGGCCTGAAGAGTCTCTCTACAGCAGGACCGCTCTACCCTGTCTGTACCATGCTGTGCTCCTGCTTACAATTTCTCCTCCTTCTGCAGCAAGGGCAGAGATCCAGAATTACAGATCATCTTGTGTACAGTATGGAGGAACATCTACCATTTCCTGAAAGCATTTTACAAGTCCCATCTTCTCTCCTTGAAAAGGGAGGGTTGACTCCTGAGCACTCTCCAGAAGGCAGCCTTGCTGCTGAACTGCGGGACTTGCTCTTCAGTAGGGCACACCCCCATTATACTGCAAATGCTCAGTGAAAAAGCAAGCAGTTTCAACTTCTTTAACAAAGTCTGGAGAATGTGGGATGCTTTTAGTGCAGAAGAACCTTTGATTTTTCATATAAAGGGTGTGATGACACAACAAGTGTCACAGTTACAGCCAAGGGAAAAGGTGGCTCTGTTCCACCAAACAGTAGACTGACAAAAAACACTCCCTTATGGGCAGGTAGCTAGTTGTTTCTGGCCCTGCTCTGCAATAATAAGATTTAGCAACAGAAACACTGCAAGTTGGGTCAGTGCTGCAGGCTCTGACAGAGTTATGACTAAGAACAGCAAAAGGATCACTCCTTTTGGCTCTCATGTGAAAGTATCTGAGAAAACGGCTGATTCCAGTGCAGCCAGAAGCCATACAGAACTGTGGCATCAAACCAGGATTTGTTTGCAAAGCTTCTCTCTCCCAGTTTAGATTAGGGATCCTGTAGTCAGGCAGACCGCATGAGAATAAGTCAAAGGATGTGAGAATTGTGTATTACATTGCTTATGGCCCTCTGGGACAACTGAACTTTAAACCCTAACAGGCTTTAAACCACTACCTGTCTTAGATGGAATACATCAAGTATCTAACGTCTAATGGGCAGCTGGACCTAAATGTTACTCTACAGACAGCAGTGCCCCTGCTGCCAATTAATTTTCTTTTGTTTCCCAAGTACTCTTAAGTAATTCTTCAAGGTGAAGCCATTTACTGCAGTAAGAGTCTTTGGGGTTGCTGCCCTCTGCCAGCCATATCTTGCACGCACATTTGCTGTTGATTTTATATGCGACTGTTGGTGCAAATTCACTCTGCCCGTGACACTACACTCTGTTCTGACTCAGAGTCTTCAGCACAGTCACAAAAACAGTTGGCTCCTGGGTTTTAAAATCTAGTGTATTTAACCCCACACCCTTAAAACCCTATATAAATGTCTAGATTTCAAGAGGGTTATCTCCATAACTTAGCCACAGCACATACTCAAGAGATCTGTCCTGAGGCAAATTAATTTTGTAGTAACCATCAGCTCTGGAGTAGTCCTGCCTAAGGGACAGATGAAGAGAGATATGCTACAGTGTCTTCAGAAAAGGGACCCAAGGTGGGGTACATGGTTCAGACTGGTGTTTAAGAAGATTACCAAGGGTTCTGCAGGAAAGCCTGGGTCTGCATACACCAAGTACTGGGTACACAGCACCCACCAACCCTGTGCTGAACAGCAGTTACTGCTGCTTTCCATCTGTACTCAGCAAACCAGCTGGGAGAAAGAACAGATAAAAGACCCACTTCAAGAGAGTGATACGATAACCTCTGACACAAGAGCAAGGCCAGCCAAGGCATCCCTGGCGTCCAAATTGGAAAAAACCTTCTGACTTTCACGGCCACAACCTCTTCTCTAGCAGCAGTCCAAACCAGTTATCACTTATTATACAGATAGTCTTTTAGCAAGGATATGATCAAGCTGCAGTTCTGGGCTCAGCCCTGAACTGGCTGCGAAGTACAAGTTAGCCTTGTCCCAGGGAAAAGGGGAATGAGTTTGTTTTAATGCAATGGTCATGACTTCAGCAGAAGAACGCTAAAGAGGCATGGCAAGTAGAAGCAGGATGATGATGTACGGGCCAACAGCTTGGATTTCTAAGGTGATGAAGGCCCAGCTGAGAGGCAGACAGAAATACTGACCATCCATTTCCACCAGCAGCTGGTTTAAGGTCTGCTCCTCCTCAGCATTGGCAAAACCAGATATATTGGTTGAACGCTTCTTGCCCACAGCATCAATTTCATCAATGTACACAATGCAGGGTGCTCGAGCCTGGGCTTCTCTGAAGAGGCTCCTGACTCTGGCAGCTCCAAGACCTATAAGGAAAGAGAAGAAGAAATAAGCCTTGCAGTTAAAATTGTTAGCAAAGCTAGAGAGCAGCATTCCTGGCCCCCAGTGAGACATTTGGCACTGGGCAAGCCCTCGGTATATGACAGTCCCTCTCTCAACACTCCTGGCACAAAGAAATAGCCACAGAACTCATTTGCTTAGTCCTTCCGCACAGCTCCTCCTAGAACTCCTAGAACTGCAGGGACTCCTATAGCTGCTGTAAGAGCACCACTGCCAGCTCCTAAGATGAACTCCTGTTTCTTCCACAGGTCAGAACCAGAAATATTCAGCATTTTCCTGCACACTGACCCTTGTCAGGTCTCAAGAGATCTGGGAGGAAGGAAGAAAAGGAGAAAGATAGAAATCCCATGGCACAAAAAGGCCATACTTTCCCCAACAGGAGGGAGAAGCAGAAAATCCATTAGTGTTCTCATACAAGGAAGGAAGCCTCAGTCAATGGCTTTAATAATAGTTACAGGGAAGTCAGAGATAATGCTTTCAGGTGAAGAACCATGGCTTCACACTGTCAGAAAAAAGGCTCTAGCAATTCAGAGGGCATGCATTTTAGATACTGCAGAATTAAATATGCTCTGTCACTGAATACCTTTTGTATTTTCAGAAAAGGTATCAAACCTATCCTCCACATGCAAAGATAGGTTAAAACTCTGTCCTGTGCAACAGGCCCTTCCAGCACCCTCCAACTGCCTAACAGACCAAGTAACCTCCACACCCTTCCTCCCAAGAAGCTTACCTCCTATCACCTCCACAAACTCAGAGCCTGCCATAGCCAAAAATGGCACCTGTGCTTCTGTAGCCACTGCCTTTGCCAGCAATGTTTTTCCACAGCCTGGCGGTCCAAGTAACAAGGCTCCCTTGGGCACTTTAGCCCCAAGCTGCAGGTAACGCTCAGGGTTCTGCAAGAACAACACAGCTCTGTCAGATTCACAGCTCACATGGAACATTTGCACAAGAATACACCCTCCCAGAGCTTCCTGATACTGTTTTTGGCCTGAACAACTCTGAGCTGCTAATGAGAGCAGCTACATCTGCATTCCTGTTACGGAAGTGGAAATACAGAGATTTGAGTCATGCTGATCACAACACAAAAAGCCGTCAGATTATTGAAACACAGACTTATTTAAACTGTATCATGAAGGATGAAGAGAGGAAAGAGGAATATAGAGCCATCTACCCCAGAAGACGGGTAGTAAGCACTTACATTGTTCTACTTGTACCTACCTTTAAGTAGTCCACAAATTCCTTGACTTCCATTTTTGCCTCATGCATTCCTGCCACATCCTTGAAGCCAATCCCTTTTCCTGACTTTCCATCCACAATGGTGAAACGAGCCATTTTCAACTGGTTCTGTGGAAGGCAAAACAAGTACTGAGGATTTACTCCGACTTTGGATAAGGCAACAGTCTGGAAAGGCTGTCTGCTCTACTTTGGGAGACAGCACAGGTATAAGCTGCCCCTACAACAAAACACTAAAATGCCCACCAACATGTTGCTAGTTTACCCACTTTTGCTCTGGAAACACTTCACAGCCAGACTGCTGACTCAAACTTTATTTATCCACGTTGTTGTTACGAGACAGAATAAACCTGCAGTAATAGTCCCAACACAATCCAGCTCAAACTCTAGATAGATCAGGCAGGGATAATTCTTACAAACATGCAGAATGTCCAAAACCTTATTTGGTATATTCTCCCCAGTTTCTAAACGCTCTGATACTTAACACACATGGGAGTGGTACAGTTTTGAGGAGTATGTATTGATGGTAAACAGCTGTCAGTGGTAAATAATTACCAATACTGTCTTGTAAACACATATAAACACTTTGCACCCTTGTCCAATGCTGCCACTAGTTGTTCCTGAAACACAACCCAGGACAGAACTGTAGGTTCTCAAATTTAACATTAGACACCACATTTCAGCCTCCTGGTGTGTGTCACACCACAGAGTCAAAACAAGAATTTAGCTCAACACTCTACTAGTAACTGCTCAGTATGTTCCACTGAAAAATGCTACTTTGGATTTTTTTTCTTTGTGAAGAAAGTTCATAGTTTCTCAGGCTTCAGAAATATCATCTTATTGAAAAGAAGAGTTAAACATGCAGGGGCCTAGATGTCCCCACGTATGCAATGATAGAATCTAGCCCTCAAGGCCCTAATTACTCAACACTTCTTTAAAATATTCTCTGAGCAGCTGTATCCCTTTGTGTAAAGAGAATCCCAAAGCCAGAAGAGAACTGCCGAGGAGGCTGAGTGGGAAATCTAACAAGGGATTAAATTCACTGTACTTTCATCCCCAAATCCCTGTGGTCAAAGACGGTGCACCCCAGGCTGACTTCTACAGAGTTTTATCAGCTGATCCAGCCAAGGGTGGAAGAGGGGAGGAGGAGGATTTGACTGATGTTGCAAGTGAGGCATGTGGCATGAGCAGAACAGGCCAACACATAATGAAATCCAGAATCTGAACATATTTTATAAATTGAGAACTCATTTTGCAGAAAGCAGCAATTCCTACTTCTGGCTGTATGGGAGGCATATTGGCAGGACCCAGTGAAAAACACCATCTGCAGCTGCAACTCATTAGCAAGCTTTGAAAACAGCAGAGCAAACTGGACTGCAAATTTACTGAGCTCAGCCCTTCCTGCCACTGGGGAAAGAAAGGGCCTCAGCTACGGCCAGTTACCATACAAGCTAGTCAGATGATCGGGTCAGCAAGATGTGTCAAGAATGGAGAGTCCTTGGCACCAGTTAATCCTCATTCTGCATTGACTTTGCTGGGGAAGGGGAAGAGAAGAGTATCCACAGGCTGCAAAACAACATCAAGATCCAGGATACTCACAAAGGCGTTGAATCCTCCTACCCGTCCGGCAACCCTAATGAGGCGGAAGATGCTCCACAGCATGGACACAGCTACAAGTGTCACTATCAGGGAAATGACATCACTAAAAGGACAAAAGCAAGACAGGTACAAATTGAAGTGTTTGCCCACAACTTGCTAAATATTACTCAACATAGCTATTTGCAGTATTTTAAAGGTCCTGACATTTAGGCAATGCAGCAATGAACAGACCTAACTAAGAAAATGGAACCTTTACAGGTTTTTTTATATATGTGTGTGTGTGTGTGTGTGTATATATAAACCCAAACCCCAAACAATTAGCCTAAAAAGTTAAGCAGAGGACACTGGCAACTACTGCTTACAGCAGTACTGCTTACACCTGAGAGATGGCCTGGTCACCTCCTGGTGCACTGTGCAGAGGGTGTCATCTTACAGGGTTTGGAGCACAGTGGCTTTCCCACTGTAGATGGGATGGTCAGTGTGTGTAATTATTCCTCCCAGACACCTTCCCAAAATCTGAAACTTCTTGTTTGTGTATGAATGGATACCTGGACTGAATTTTGTCTAGTTACTTGCCCTCTGAACAGCATTTGCACATTTGTAAGACAAGGTTTATATGAAGATAAACCTTAAATTGATTGTGCAGTATGAGACCTTTAGTCGAAATTCAGAACTTGCCTATTTTTTCAAACTTCTGTATAATAAAACATTAGTACATCCTACAAAAGCACAGAATAAAGGCTAGCCAGTTATGTATAATATTTTGACAGATGTTTATAGAATCACAGGCTGGCTGGGTTGGAAGGGACCCTTAAAGCTCCTCCAGTTCCAATCCCATGCCATGGACAGGGACACCTTCCATTGGACCAGGTGGCTCCAAGTCCCTGTGTCCAGCCTGTCCTTGAACACTGTCAGGGATGGGGCAGCCACAGCTTCCCTGGGCACCCTGTGCCAGCGCCTCAGCACCCTCACAGGGAAGAGCTTCTGCCTAAGAGCTCATCTCAGTCTCCCCTCTGGCAGGTTAAAGCCATTCCCCTTGGCCTGTCCCTACATCCCTTGTCCCAAGCCCCTCTCCAGGTTTCCTGTAGCCCCTTTAGGCACTGGAGCTGCTCTAAGGTCTCCCCTTCAGGAGCCTTCTCTTCTCCAGGCTGAAGAACTGTGGCTCTCTCAGGCTTGCAGAAGAGGTGCTCCAGTCTCTGTTCTTCTTTCTTCCTTCCCTATTCTTTCTTCCTTTCCTATTCTATCTTCCCTCCTCTTCTCATTATAGGTTTTTCAGAATTAGAAGCTTTGAGCTCTTATTTTCAGGTAACAGAAACGGGCTGTAAGTTTAACAGAAGAACTCCTCTCATTGAGATTTCATATGCATCAAAGCTGCTCTGCTCAGTATGTGGCTCACAGCTGGAGTGAGCACAGTGCAGGCCATCCTCTGATCTACAGCTGCTGCAGAAGCAGGCCAAAACTAGGTGTTTATTTTTACAGACTGAAGAGCCACCACAGGCCTCCCTTGAAGAATTTGAATAGGGGGAAGGCTTGCCGCACCACCAGCATTCTCCACCGACCAGGGTGTAACATCACTTGTTGAGTCATGGTGTCTACCACACTCTGCACTTGAAAAATTGATTGTGAGGACATGATGTGCTCAGCTGTGCAAGAACACAGACTTTACTCAGACTTGCTGATGCTGACCTGAAACATTTTGGTCTGCTGCATGCTGCACTTCCAGACACCTTCTTGGGACCTTCACTTCTGAAATATTAAGGTACATCTAAGAACATGCCTATTTCTGAAAGGCTGCCTAAGTGCTTCGAATGGAGACCACTTTTAGTTCTATGTTTATATAAAAACATTAAGTTGAACGCGAGCTTCCTCTCCAAGTGAGGGACGTTGCCACCAATCTATGATTGACAGTAAGCACAAATTTGTATCATACTTTCCATAAAAGCCAGGATGTTTGTAGGAAATGGGGATTCTCTCTCTCTCATCAATATTCAGCTCATCCTCCACAGCTCTCAGCTTCTCTTCAAATTTGTCAATGTTTGCCACCCGCATTGTGTACAACAGGGTAACATTCTGGGGACGTGCAATAAAAGCAGCATGTCAGTGTTGTAGCATAAGGATACAGCAGTGAGCAGAAGAAAAGCACAACATGGACAAGTCAGATAAAATTTAGCCTTATGTTACACCTTTTGAGACTGAATCAATGAACTCATGAGCAGCTAACTGACTCTAGGCCTCCAAATGACCTTGGGAACACCAAGTACTTTCAGCAGGTCATGAAAGCATAAAAGGCAAGAACTAAGCTCTCCAGAAACAACGAGATGCAACAACTTTATAGAAAGCTGGATGGAGTTAGTATTATAAACTCAGTTATACTGACATGGGCTCAGACAAAATGTTATACTACATACAGAAATAAACAGAAAACTACATACTGGAAAGGAGGAGCCTTGTGCTCCACTTGGACTTCTTGGACCTTGTTCCTGTGTCTACCAGAAATGAATTTCATCTAGCAGTTTGCAAATAGATCATAAATCACCCAACAAAATGGGATGTATCCCAGAACAGTATTTTAATCTCTCAAGCCAGTTTGTAATTATTCTTAGTGGTAACTTCTGGAAGTAAGCAGATCAAACTCTGCTTTCTCTTTATTTTGGAAGATTCAGGAAGGAATTCTGATGGAGTTTGACAGAACACTTGAAACTAAAATCCAAGTAGGAGAACATTTTTGAAACTAGATCTTACAGTGTTCTAGACACTTTCTCATGTACGAGACTGAGCCAGTAGGAAAAAACTGGTGTTTTTTTTCCAGCTTTTTAGGCATATGTAAGATTTTCTTCCAGATCATTATTAATTAATTTTACAATTTAAACTAAAAGTCTTATTTCCAGGTTGATATAACAGAAGTCCCCTGAACTTCAAATAAACAAAACAGAAAAAATAATGAAGTGCAAATTTACCAGCTAGAGTTTTACAGAACATATATATTCATTAATTCAATTCCTTTCAACAGTATGAGCTATGATCACTCATTCCTGTTGCAGAAAGTGACTTACAACTTGTCCATGTGGGGTTCCTCCTGGGTGCAGATAAACCTCCACAATATCGCTCTCTGGCACCACCTCGATTCTCTGGACCTCCCCCTTTGCCAGCATCTCATTCACAAAGTAGTTCCAGGAAATGTTGGTCCCTTCTCTGTTCTCACTGAGCATGAATCGAAACAACAGCACTATGACAGTTAGGATGAGGAGTGCCCGTAAACGTTCAATATGCATTTGATTTTCCTTCTTCCTGCGTTTCTCATCCTCTAGAAATAACAGATACCAGAAGGGGAAAAAAGGAAAAAAGATATGAGCATGTACTTGTAGAGCTTTCTGGTCCAAAGAAGAAACAATTAAATAACAAAGACTGACACAATTTTTTTTTTGTTTGGTTTTTGGTTTTTTTTTTTTTGTTGTTGTTGCATGTTTGGTTTCTCCTGAAGGGCTGGACTCGAAGCAGCACCCAACTTGCATTGCACAGGCAAGTTTCTGGCTTGGCTCACAATGAAGGTTGTTTGACTTGCCCAAGGTTATGCAAGTGAGTCAGTTTTTTGGATTATGTGGCATTCCCAGACGCTTCTGGCATCTAGACCATCAGACCACAGGGCCTCAGCTGTACACATGAAACAGCACCAAGTCAAAAGTTATGAAAGCAGAAGCACTCAGATGTGAACTTCAACTGCCTGGAAGGAGACAAATTCTGCATCCTGCTAACCAGCAAAAAATCCGCTTGAGTCACATTGCTGTGGCTATATTCAGCCATTCCCCAATGCCCCTCACTGCAGTGAGGCACTGTGTGATTACAGAGAAGATGATGGACGATCACCTCACCTCTTGTGCTTTAACTGTTGCTTCAGTAAGAGAAGGATTTGAAGCTTCAGGGAGGCAAAGAAAGAACCTCAACCCCAGAAGTTATTGTATACAAAGACAGCAATCTCAGACATGTTTTGAGAGTTCTGATCAGTGTGTCCTGTTTTAAGGCAGTCTAATCCTGGTCAGCAGACTTAAGATGTCACAGTCTGCTAGTCTCATCACCATTCCACCAAACATCATTCTATTTCAAAATGAGAGACTTCCTCATTTGCCTGGCCTAACATAGATGTAGGCCAAATAAAGCTGCTGGACCCTTATTGCTAAAAATCAAACTCAAGAACTACTACAGCCCACTTTTATACAACATGCTCCTACTCTGCCCAGTCCTCAGGCTGTTGCTAACATATCTACTGGGAAATATTAGGAGTAAAACCTGTTCATAGCGTCACTGGTAAATCACATAGCACAGTATTATAAGAGATAATTGCTTCCTGGTGAGCTCCTGATCTGCTGTCACCCTCTATCATAAGACCAACGATGTCTCTAGTACCTAAAAATATATCTGCATTTGCAGTAAATCTGGAATAGCACATGAGACGTGATATGCAGCTTACCTGTGGAAATAAATACACTACAAATCAAGCTCACTGTCTTAAAATTGCACAGGTTTTCTCCCATGCTATACATCTAACCCCGTGTTTAAAAAGTTTTGATAACTTTTCCACATTAAGGATCTGTATCAGAAGGATTCATATGTTAGGTGTGCATTCCCCAGCCTTTACTGTACCAGTGATATACTGAAGTGCTGACATGAGGAAAAGGGATGGTTTACTCCAAGTGTTTGCCACCAAACCTTTTTTATTCAGACTCCCAACATTTTTTTCACTGCATCGGCAAATTTCAAATCCTGTGGTCTGCAAAGGGCTGCCACAGCACAGTTCAATGTCAACTGCCAGCTAGTATTTGAGTTGTGATGACAACAAATATCTCCTCCTCTTTCCAGCCCGATGTGGATGTTCTTGATATATAATTTAGCACTTGCTCTTGATACACAATTTAACATCACCAGCAACGTGGCATACATAAATAATGCTCTACACCCAGCAATGAATTAATTCTGTGTCACTATATTGCTAATGCATCTGACTGCTGCAGCCCAGATTCAATTTATTTACAAATTCATAACAAATGCTCTGACACTAGCATTTATCACTAGCCACCAATTAGTCCCTACACACACTGCAACAAAACCAAGGGACAAACATATGACCCAGTCAGATGCTAAAAAAAGTACTCTGTCCTTCAGACACGCAGCATCATTTTTCACTCGCTTCCTAGCCCTGCTCCACATTTAACAGGAAAGGCTTGTTCTTAAATAGAAACAATGCAGCTTTTCAGATGTTCTTTGATGTTATCTCTTCACTTTTGTCTTATCTGCTAGATCCAGCTTTATTAAAACAAAGCAATTCATCAAAGCCGCAGGATGACATCCACTACAGTCTTATTAATGAAAATTAAAACATAGTATGTGAGAAGCCTTAGTCTGGACAATATCCTGAAAAACTGAGCAAGTTCTAAATAAAAAGATTCTACAGAGAAAAGAAGCTACTTTAGAAAGTGAGTACGGAATATGCGAGCTCCCTGGAGATGCCACAGTCAACTACTGCTAAAGCATTTTCTGCATTAAAATTTCAGACAAAGTGAGGAGGCATAGAATATGTCCTAAAGCACACACGACTAAGGATACAATCACAAAAGGATCACCACAGGGTAAAAGCTGGCCATCAGATACCTTGGTGCAAACAACTTCTCTAGTTCCTAGGAACTGGACTTGTCCAGGACTTTTAATCTACAGCTGAATTATGTCAGGAAAAGACACCATTTTTAGAAAACTAGAAGGCAATGCAAAGCTTTCCTCTACTCTGCACTTAATTAAGAATAAAATCAATCTATTTCTAAGCTTATGTGAGGTCTGACTATCTTTATAGTACAACATTCATATTGTACCATAACTACCCCACAATGTTCAGTAAATGAGAACCAGTAACTGTATGTGACACTTGCAAGCAACAGCTGTGGGAATACTTCCAGCTTTTTAGCCTCAAAAAGCCTCCATGAAGCCATGATTTGCCATTAACCCTAAATCTGAACTCTCTGATTAAAATCTTGCAAGAGCTGCAGTGGCAGTTTGAAGAGTTCTTTTTAATAATTACTGCAAAGACAAGCATTCCCCTGGAGACATGGGGTAGCATTCCACCTCCCAAAGCCAAGCTATCCATTAATCACAGGAGAAGAGAGGCCACTGAACATGGCATGTTACTGTTTGCTAATTTTAACAGCTACAGTTCTTCAGGGCACTGTGCTCGCAGTCACCCTGTGTGGTCTTGCAAGCACTAAGGGCCTCAACCTCTAAGCTCTGACTTCCTCAACAAGGACTCTGTGACACCTGCACTCGCACCTCATCCAAGGCTTCAGCCCAGGGAAATGGATCACACAGAGTAAAGCCACTCTTTCTTAAAGAGACTGCAGTGGCATGAGTCAGGCTAAAAGTCACCAGCACCTGGCTGCTTTTATTTCAAAAGTTAGTCAGGCCAAGAGGATTCACCCATTATGTTTAAGCACAACAAAGGTAAAGCCAAGCTATTCTATTATTTACTGATACTCAGACGGAAGTTTATAATGAAATTTATAAAATTATACTACAATCTGTGTGACTTAAGCATGACGTTAATGCCTTCCGACTTAGAGTACTAAGGTCTAGAGCCCTCCATCTACAGGTTTACCCCCCACTCAAGGTCCAGGAAGCAAGCAGCACAGCAAACACCCATAAACTCACTCAAGACATCCCCAGCCCCTGCAAGCATCAACTAATGAAATGAAATGGAAAATGCTCAGATCCTCTGTGCTTCTGCAAGCATTACTGGTATGAAAGAAGAATGAGATCTTCACTGCTAAAGATCTACACCCCAGAGTCTGAAAACATGCCTAATCCAGAGGCTAGAGAGTCTTTGCACTGCAGCTCTTGGGAGGCATGTACTCACAAAAAAGCAAAGAATTTTCTTTATAGCAGTGAAGAGTCAAATTACACTTTTTAAACAGAATGCAGCTGTTGTAAATCTACAAATAGCAGAAAGCTGAAAACACCACCAAGACCTGAAGGGACACCCACAAACCCACTTGTATTTGAAAAAGATGTTTGGTGAAAATCTACTGGCAGAAGGTAATGGTGCCTGCTAAAAGGATCAAAACACTGCCTGTCAGAAGTTACACAAGGTTTTTGCCTGGTACACTGAATTTATTCCCCTGCACCCTCACCATTAGCACTGTTAAAGTCTTTACTTCCTTAAGGTACAGAGAGAGCACCCCTCTACTTCTCAACATAATCTGGCACACCACATAGATCTCTAGGCTCCAAGACACATTTAGTGAGGTAAACCTCATTTTCAAGAAGTCCTGTACAGTGGAATGCCTGGGGCTTAGGCAGGATGAGATGCACAAAAAACAGTATCTAGAAAGGCTGATTTGAAAAACAAGAAAGAAAAATTCTGAGCAAGTGCCATTATCACAGCTAAGAAATCTTTAAGGTATCTAATTTTAACTTTAAGCTCTGTAAACCACTAGAGACATATCCACAATGAAGATAAATGAAATTAAGAAAAAACCAAATAAACAATGTCGAGCCAGGATCCAACTTAAAGAACTTTATTTAGTTAAAATAAGTTTAAGTCAAAATGCTGCATAACAAAACCTCCAAACCAAAACTCAGTTAATGCTCCTTTTCCCCTCTGCAAAGCAGCACAACTAAGGCACACATCAATGAAGTTATTTGCATAGGATGCAAAGCAGCACAGAAGCAGTTTCATGCTCTGTATTTAAATCTTAGTATTCCAACCCCTAAGCCAAAACACCCCTTCAAACTTGGTTAGAAATGGTAAGTTACAGGCTTCTAGTACCCAGAGACTGAGGCATTAAGGCCTTCCGTGCTGTCTACCCTTACCCTGATACATACTACTTGTTTCATTAAATATCTTTTTGGCACATACATACCATCATCCTCCTGTGGAGATTTCTTTTTGAATCCTCCATTCTTCTGGTTACTTCCCCGACAGCTTGAAGTAGTAAACCAGTAAGTGCTACCTACAGGAAAGCAGAGTTAAGTTGTTACTACCAGCAGACCTCAGGAGACAGTGAGGGGGGCTGAGGATAGCAGAAACACATGAGCTCCAAGTGCAGAGAAAGCCGAGCTCCACGTCCACCCAGTAACAGTTTTGCTCCTGTGCCAAGGAAACAAGACATGCTCATCAGAAATAGTCACAACAAGGACAGACTGTCACTTTCCTCATATATATTTCTTGACAATCCAGTAAGAAATTGCTTTGTTCAGAGATGATTTTAATGGAGCAAAGATAATAATTTGGAGAAATTTCTTCTGAGCTGAAACTTGTACACAATTCCCAAACCATAGTTAACATTGGTATGAGTCAAGAACAGCCTCATGCTATGAACTGTAGATACCTATTACAGGAAATATATATACTGGACTTAAATGCAGGTTTCTCAGTAAATGCTGATAGGATACTCTAATAAAAGCAAAAAAAGTAATGCTTCAAACAGTAACACTCACAGTTGCTGCCACTGTGGTTTAAGCCCAGCTAAGGCTTTTTCACCAGAAATACAAGTAGTTGAGAAGCCAGACAACTGACTTGACGACAGTAGTTTCCACTTCCCATGGTCCTTTCATGAAGGCTCCAGAAAAAGGAGTAAGCCCAGAAACTGGAACTGCTTGTCCACTGCTACTTCTACTAGAGGGATTCACTGTCATTTGAAAGATTATGCATATATTTTAACTTAAAACCTCTAGCCCTCTCAAAGGGGGAGCAGCCCAAGCTCAGTGGGCCCACACTGGGCAGCACAGCTGTGACCAGTTTTGTTCAAATCTCAAAGGCAGTAGCAAACTCATCTTTGCAATCTGAAGAGGGCAGTAAGAAGAGTAACTGATCTTTGTTCCACCTTACTGTGCTTTAGCTCTAAGAATTCAGGTAACTTTTTCTAACATACACTTTCAACTGGCTCCTGTGCAAGGCTTTCAGCAAGGTCATACAATACGACTTCTGAAAAAGGTGAATGACATTTTCGTCTTATGCTTTGCTAATGAGGCAAAGAAAGATTCTCTACTTTAAAATCTGCAGTTTTTAAATTAGCTTTTAGGTCTACTGACTCAAGTGCTTCCTTAATCACAGAGCTACTTGTGGAAAAGTGCCATTGTTCGTCCCTGTCACCAAACCAAAACCTAGAACCTCTGTAAAATTCACACAGCTCCCAAAGCCAAGAACAGAACAGCTTTATTTCAGTAACACAGGCAGTGAAGGTAAGGAAAAGTCAATACTCTCACTGAGTATGACCTTTTCACCTCCTCCACCTGTACAGTTGCTTTTTGGGACTCACCTAAGAAATTCCGAAGCCGGACTGGATCACGAATTATGTGTTGCTTCACCAGGACTCCACCAAGACCCTGACACATGGGGAAGTGTGTTGGTGACAGAAGGCTCTGAGAAAGAAGAAAAACAAAAAGCAAACTATTGGAAAAGCAGTGTGACTGCTTAACCTTTATATACTCTTCAAGACTAACACTCCTAAACATGAAAATACTGTGGGTAAGTTGCAGGACCAGCAGCTAGGAGACCTTAATATTATATCTAGCTGTGCTGTATGCTTGCCATGTGACTGTGAAGATGTTGTTTATAACCCAGTTTAAAAGAAAAGCACATGTGTAACTAGGAACATACACTCAAAACACTTTAAAATTTTATCTTCTCCTTCCTGTGGCTCTGTTCTTCATTGTAATGATATGTTGAAAGTCAGTTCTTAAAATGCAGAGATACCCTCCCACAAAGCGGAAATCTTAAGCACCAGTACTTTTTACCCTGCTCCACAGCAGGAAGGACAACACAGCCATTTCCCCACGGTAATTCGGCAGTAATCCTGTAGTCGATACTCACGCTTAAGGGCAACTTCTCAACATCTGAACTAACATTTACTAATGCTCTCACTGTACACAAGCCTATCACGTTCTCTGATGTGTGATTCCCTGTCCCACCACCCCTCTATTGCACAGGCACAAGTTTCTGTGCAGCAAACCAGACAGAAGCACTAACTAGGCTGAAATCCCTCACCCTTTTTTGCTGATTTGCTGGAGAGCAACAACACAGCTTTCGCTGGCTTAAGATGGTGACCTCTTGGTATGAATACCTTCTAGAACAGAACAGCTAAGACTAATTTTGACAACAGAAAAACCCTGGCATGATTCAAAAGCAGTCCTTCAATTGTTCTTCCTCCACTGCCTGCTTAGATGGCCAGTACTTTTTCACTGCACATCAGAAAAACTCACAAGTCCTCACTCATGTTCAGGGCCAGGCTGGACAGAGCCTTGGGTGACATGTTTCCATGTGAGGTGTCCCTGCCCATGGCAGGGGGGCCAGAACTAGATGATCTCAAGGCCCCTTCCAACCCTAACTATTCTATGATTCTGTGTTGGAGGCCTTGTTTAAACGAGAGCCTTGCCTTGTGTTCTAAGGGCTAAACTAGAGGGACCTGTGCTACCAAGAGCACAGCAAAATGGGGAAAACACATCTGTGGGGCACACCAATGCAGTGTGCATGAGTGATGCAAAGAGTTGGCACGATTAAAACTGGAGAAAAAAAACCTTTTAATCAACGTTTTATTGCATACAACAGCCTAGGTGCTATCCCCATACCATTTTTCCCCCATGTTACTGTTACAATGCACTGCCACAACGGACCTTCGGGAGGGTCCAGCCCGAGACACCCATTAGGGAAAGCCGTGCTTGGAGCAAGAGTCCGTTCACACATGGAGCCGGTGGGCTAACCCAGCTCCCCCCTGTGCGTTCGCCTCCTCCTCCGGTGCTCCCAGTCCCACCTCAGCGGGACACTGCCCAAGGGAGGGGGGCGGCGGCCCCGGGCTGCTCCAGCACGACCCTCCCCGGTAACCGGCGCTGCACCCTCCGCCGCTTCCGCAAGCTCCGCCCCGCGGCCAGCCCACCCCGCTCCGCCGCCCGTTACCTGCAGGCCGCGACCTGCGCCGAGGGCAGAGCCACCGGGCCGCGGGCGAGCCCAGGCCCAGGCCGGGGCGGGCGGCGGGGCAGGCCGCCGCCAGCAGCGCCCCCGGAGCAGCAGCAGCCGCAGCAGCAACACCATGACTCGCCGGCTGTCCCACTCTGCCTTGCAGACCTCCGAGGAGCGGCAGCAACTAACGGGCACCGAGGGACCGCGGGCCGCTGCGCTCGCCGCCGCACCGGGAACCGGAGGCCTCACTGGGCACGGAAGTGACCGCTGATAAGCGGGCGGCCATCTTGGAAAGGGGCCGATAGCGAGAGCAGTGCCATGCCTTAAGATGGCGGTCTGAGCGCTGGCCCCGCCCCCGGCCGCCGCCGCGCGGGGTCTGCCGGGACGGCCCGAGCCGTTACCACAGCAACGGGGAGTCCCGGCGGCTGCGGCCCCTTGCGAGAGGCCCAGGCCCGGCCCCGGCCTCGGCCGGGGGCCCCGCGGAGCGGCCGCAGTCCCGGTCTCGGCTGCCCGGGCTTGGCCAGGCGCGTCCCAAGGCGGGCTGCCCTCTGCAGGTGAGCCCCAGGCCAAAGTCTGCCTGGCCAGTCCCCCTGGAGCAGTCTGGTTCCCGTAGCGCAGGCAGGTCCCCGTAGCGCAGGCAGGTCCCCAGGCCGCTCCCGCAGATTTAGGCATGGAGGAGGACCAACAGCTAGGAGGAGTAAGCAGGCTCCTGCAGGCACGGGGGAGCGGGGTTGTGGCAGGCGGGGAGGGAGACCTGGCACTGCATTAAAGCAGCAGGGAGTACGCAGCGAGCCCCGTTCTGGGTTTTTTATCACTCTTAACATCATGTCCCACATAATTGTAACGGCTGGAAAGAGAACAAAGAAATGACCTCTGCAATCCTAGATTCATGACAGAGGAAAGAGGCCCGCTGCCTCCCTGTGCAGCTGTTGCTGAGGAAAACTCCCCTTCTGAACTCAAGGTATAAATTAGCTCTGATAGAAAACAGCATTTAATATCTGCAGCTGAGCATGATGGATTATCAAGTACTCTCAGAAGTGAAATGAGAGAACAAATATACATGTACAACAATGTGTTTGCTCTTTGCCAGGCAGGTTAGCTGGCTCCTGTGATCTCTCTTCCGTGGAAAAGCCATTACAATGTGTTTAACAAATCAGCGTGGCGAAGCTACAATGCACCCATTACCCTGTGTTTGAAATTGTTTTGGTGCAGGTGTGTGGTTGTAACAGGGGTGGACCGCTCACCTCCCCTCAAGCATTACACCAGAGTGTGTCAAGGTTATGAGTTAAGTTCCCTGTGTACAGAGACCATAAAGGTCATTGTATTTTAAGTCCCTGATCCTAAATCTTGTGTAATCTCTTCCTGTTTTGCACTAGTTGTGCACTGCTGAGTGGGTGGCCTCAATGTGCTCTGCTGAGTGTTTCTTTGGGGCAGGAAGGCATTTCAGAGCCATCACCTCCCTCCTACCACAGTTACACCCTTCTTGCTCTACTGAAATGAATATTCTGTTTGTAAGGCTAGCAGGTCTGATCTCTCCTGCTCAAGTCCTTTGATGCGCTTCATGAAATCATAGAATCATAGAATAGTTCCTCCTACCTCGCTGAACAGGATGGTTTCTGCAGCTTTTTCTCCCTCATTCCTCTCCATGTTTCTCCCCTCACACGCCTCAGGGACAGCTTTTGGGTTCCTCGCTGTTGTTAGTTCTCCTAACTTACCTGTCCTCAAGTATCTCAGGCATTCTTGAATGGGAGGTTGCAGGGCTACATATAATAATAATAAATAATTATGTCCCTTCCCAGCGGGTCTGAATTAGCATCCTCTTTCTAGAAGAGTCTCTTAGGATGTTAATTGTCATCTGCCCCCTGGGATGTGTCTAAGTAAACCTTCTACCAGCAAGATCTAATAGCATGTTAATGTCCTCCTCACTCCTGGAAGTCTCTTTGTATCATTGGCTTAATCGTCAAACAGCTTAATTTACAGACACAGAATTAAACTGGTTGCAATTAATCCATACTGGCTGGTCATAGTGTCATCAGTGAGGAGGTGACAATGGAGATACAGATCCCACCCGGCATGGCTGGACAGACCGAGCTGGTGCTGCAGTGGCTGTAAGTGAGTAGGTCGGGGAAGGACAGGAGAAGCAGCTCTGGCTGAGAGCAGACATGGGCACAGCACAAGGTCTTTGTTCTATACCAGCCATGCACAACAGCCTGCTTCGCTGGGTGGCTGCTACCGAGACGAGTGTCATGTCTGCACCCACCTTGCAGAAGGATCCGTGTGGGGGTATTTGTGCCCCAGCTATGTCTGCAGGAGGAAAGGGCTCGTTTGGAAATGCTGTGCCCTCTAGCACGGGCACAGAGGTGCAGGCTCTCCACTGGGGATAGAGCAACCTTGGAGAAACACATAAGGGACCAAGCGGCTGTGGGGCCCAGCAGTATGCACACCCCTAGCTCTGCTTCACTCAAGGCATGTCACACCTTGCTTCCATCCATTTTCTGAGCAGACCTATTGCTAATGAGGCTTAATCTATTTTTAAAGAGTTGCATCTTTTAAAGGGAATTACAGCCTGATTAGAAGGTGAAAGTACAGTTTGCTTAGACAGGACTTCCCTGACTTCTACCATTCTGACCCAAGATTGAGCCAAATGGGTTTCATGATGCCTGCCTTACAGCTTTGCCTCAGTGAAGACAAAATTGGACCCATTTAATGATGGAGGGCAAGGAAAGCTGAAAGGGTCCAATGCCTAGCACAGGCAACCCCCAGATGCATCTGGGTGGGCTCGCCGACTGGAACGCACTGCATTTCAGGGCTACAGGGCAGCTGGGCTCTTGTTGTGATGCTCCTAGCAGAAGCTGCTGCCTTGATGTGACAAAACCGTACTGAACTATGAGGTTACGTATGTTCATATAACCATAGGAACAAATGAAATATGGCTATTTACAGACCCACCATGTAGCTGGAGTTGACATGATTCCTATTCCTCCTTTCGTGCTGTGCCTTGAAGGGAACCTGGCATTCTTCACCTTGCTGGTGCCAAAACAAAGGGTCACCAGAAGAGTCAGGAGGTTTTGCCCTATGTGCAGACAGCACCTGCCGTGGCCACACTGTGACTTCTGCATGGGCAGCTCAGGCTGTGTATGCGGAAGTGAGCACTGTCCTCTCTGTGTGTGCGAGAGATGACCTTGGGGAAGGTGGCTTTAGTCACTGCCCTTGGACTGGCAATATGCTCCTTTGGGAGTAAGCCAATGCTCTGAGAAGACAGATATAACCTGATCCAGGCTTGGCCTCACTGGGATGTACTCCAGCTGTGACATCACTCAGTAATACCACATGTATTTACTTACTACTGGGGAAGGGTGCTGGATTGGAGTCTGAAATCCCTGGTTTATCTCCTGAGCAGGTTAGGGACAGGAAGCAGCATTAGCAACCCCATCCTGTGTTTTTCAGGCCAAGAGATACCCATTTCCTGAGCCAGCACAGCTCTCAGCTCTGCTACATTGGAGAACCCACATCTCTTACTTCCATGTCCCTGTAAGACAGTCTTCCTGCCCTTTTTCCTGCCCCAGAGTCTCAGGAAGCTCTTTGTAGAATGCCATCAATCCCTCCATCTTGGCTCCAGCTCATTTCAACACAGCACTCTGCAAACTGAAAGAAAGGATACATGGTGTCAGGCAGCCACTGCACCATCCACAGACTTCACATCCATAATGAATCAATGGGTTAAATGTAGAGCTGAAGGTGCTAGAAGGTAAATTCAGACATTCAGAATGAAAAAATGCTGTTACCCTCCCCAGCAGCAGAAGCCAGGCTGCCTCTGCGGCAGGACAAAAAACCACAGCCCCAGTGTTCCAGCACCCTTCAGCAGCTTGCACCTCTCATGTACCAGATATATTTTCTTTAGACATCTTCTTTGCAGATGACACATCAAGGTCATGGGATAGATGCTCCCCTTCTGCAAAGCAAGGCCAAGCATCCAGGAAAGCCTCAGGCTCAGAAAAAAAAGCCATGCTTAAAAGGCCATACTTCTTGTCCCTCAAGCACAGTGAAACCCCTCACCATGTAAAGATCTGTTCAGCAAGTAGCCTCTTCATATGAGCCACTCCAAAAGCATCACACCTATTCCTCCAGGAACAGCTTGGGATCACTGCCACTGGCACACCCACATCCCAACATGCTGATCTTGCATGCAGAGGACAGCATGGCACTTAACCGTGCTCCTCCCTGGGGGCAAGGAGGACACCCCAACCCCATGGTGAGGCAGCTGGCAGGCATAAGGCATAACTGGAAAGCAGTGCTGGGATACAAACTTATCTTTGAGTCACCTCTAAAGACCGGGGAGTTTAAGATAGGAAGGTGACAGATGGCCATAGGCAGGGGATCAGAGGGAATCAGCCGTAGAGCAGCAGTGACCGAACCGTCTGCCAGCCATGGCTTACGAATCGCTAGAAAAGCAGTCAACACAAGAAGGAGCAACACTGAGAGAAGTGAGATGGGTACTTCTCAGCTTGGCTTGCAGTGGTAGAGCAGGAGGAGGGAAACTGCTTGTTTGTGATTCAAAGGCCATGAATGAGCAGATCGCTCCACAGGAGCACACTCCCTGGAGGGCTCCTGGAGCGTGCAGAGCACAGGAGAAGCCCAGGAATCTGTGTGCTGAAGTCATCTCCAAACCTTGCAGGCTGGAGGAGGTCAGTAAGCTTCAAGTGAGCAACTGTCACTCCACACCCCTGAAATCCATAAGCAGGCTAAGAAACCTAAAGCCTGTCATTAGGAATCATAAAAGCAGTAATTATAACAGGACTGTCATGAGGTCACACCTAGAACATCAATATGAGGCATTTATCCAGCAGCAGGGGACCACTACCCTCAGAAAACATCCTTCTCTAGGGATGCAGAAGGCCCAAAGCTCCCTGGACTTACTATTCACAAGGGCATAGGGTCCTGCAAAGAACCATGTAAATACATATTACAAGAGCAGCACTTGAGCTTTGAGGGGTCCAAAACCACTGCTGCCTGATCAGGCTGAGGGTGTGGGGGAGCACCAGAGCTAATCCAGGTCTTAATCCAGGGCCCTGTGTGGGGTCTGCTGGGCCACCATTGATCACACCGTGGGCTGCAGTGAGGAGTTAAACCTTCAAAAGGCAGCTGATCTGGTAGGAGTGAGCTGTTGCTTTAGTTTAGCCTTATTATTGAACCACATCTCATGGAGCTGTGAGCAAGCGCCTCATTATAAAGCAGGTGGAAGCCCAGCCTTTTATTTCTTAATGGCATCACAGGCAGAAGGGCTTGTTCTAAGTTGGAGTTGTCCTTTAATAACT